TCTTGCTTCGCATTACTTCCCGGATCTCGCTGCTGGAAACTTTAGGCTTGCTCCGGGTTTCCTTTCTTTTTCACTCTCTTCCCAACTGCCCTTCTGCGGTTACCTTACTTAAATTGTAACCTCCACTGTTTGGGTTTGTCGTGCTTTCCAAACATGTTCTTCAAGTACCGGTCCTTTTTCGGAAGTTCGGTTTCGACATTAGTTTTTCCGGGCCGGGGCCCCCTCCAACGACGACTCGACCCCGAGACGGATTTCCCTTAATGCCGGAGAGCTCTTCTTTTTTTCCTTCCAAGTCCCCTTTGTTTATTGCCTGAGCTAATTTGCTGTCCATAGAATTATAGGGCTTACTACATGTACGGTCTCAATATATTTTTCACTCACGTGTGCAGATGCATGCCAATTATATGGGGTAAGGGTCCTTCCTGCAGGTATCAATCTACCGCGGGGGGATATGCAAGAGATAGACGGCATGCCGACTACAACGTCTAGAGTAGTCTTGAAACAAAGGAGAGCGGGGGAAGGTGTAAATTTTTTTTTTCTCCCTTTCTTTCTTTGTTTCTTAGGTACTTACCTGAGTCTCTGACGTCTTCATACATGAGCCACCACAACTCACAAGCAGAGTCACATTAGCTAAAAAGAAAACAGGGAGAAAATTGCAGCATACCTACATATACATACACGTGCCACCGACGACACTGCCTGGCCCATGCTTCTAGATGTACATACGCACTAGGTACCCATCATCATCGTCTGCGGAGATTTTTTCTTTCAAATTGCGACACACCTCGCAAAGATCTGTGGACCGGTAATCTGTGGTTACCATGGGTGGGGCGGCACGGGTGGGGGGATATAACGACCTTTTTTTGAGTACCCCGCGATTCAAATATGGGCCGGTATCTTTTAGTTACCGGAGGTCTGGGACAGCATATTACTTGCTGACTGGACGGGCAAGTAGAAGAACGGGTGTTGCTTTGTTTGCGTGCTGCTACTGAAGACTTTTCGAAATTTAGTTGCTTTTTAAAGATGTCAGAAGATCTACCAGGCCATTGTTGAACTGAACTGAGTTGAACTGTAGGTACTTTACGTTGAATGCGAATGCAAGTGATGCCTTGCCTCGCATGCCACACACGCACGAGAAATGAAATTCGGTAGGTAGGCAGAGGCAAGCCAAAGGCATGATGTTGCAGGTGTGGGGGAAATAGTCGGCAACCCCGGCTATCCCAAGACGTCGGTAAATCACAAGTGTATTTTATGCCTTTTGTTTTCTCGATACAGATTTGGACTATCTACTGTTCGTTAGCCATGGAGTTTGCGGTGTGTTTCCTTTGCCCCGTCGCCACCACCATTGAACGCGTGCCGCAGCTGTAGGGGGGACTTCGAGGACTTTTTCTGCAGTCAACCATTTACAGCCAAGAAAAACAGAAAAGCAAAAAAAAAAATCATTACCCCACACACGTGGGAGATTTGAGGGGCTGTAGTGCGGTAGAGGCTCAACCCAACCTTTGATGGGTTTAAGTTTCGTTAAAGCTTCTTGGCTTTTGTTGTGCGACAGCGTTCCATTGCGTGATCCAAATATACTTTTTTGCTACACCAACAACTGCTGTGGGAATGGCGTTCCGAACCCCCATTTGTTGGAGTTTATGTTCCTTTTTCGAGGGACACATTTATATCATCCATTTCAGGAAAATTGCTGCAGCTGGCGGTAGCGAGAGGGTTTGGTCTGTGAAAAGGCTCTGGCAGTCAACAACAGGACTGGTTTTCAGAGGGATTGTATACCTGGGTCGCGGATATAGCGTTTTGAGGCGCTTGACTAGTAGTGCAATTACTATAGACATATATACTTTGAGGTTGATTAATCTTTATATTAGAAACAAATGTATGGGTTCAAGAAGGTACATATTGAGTCGGTTTGGATGGTGAGGTGATTATCAGAAAAGTGGTCAATTCGATTAGAAGGCCAGTCCCCGTGAAGTCTTAGATGATGCGTATATGCATTCACTTGATATACGACACAATTCTATCCGGCCACTTATGCCCTTAACTAGCGCCATATTTTTCAGTGGTTGATCTGCATGACAGTCTAGCAAAAGTCTCATAGATTGTCACTCGGTCTGCATCCCACACACAAAACATGTTAAAATCTAACGTACTTCTACATATATCAAACAATTATTATAGCTGGTGTCTCTGATGCCCATAGATACTTGTGTCGTGTGAGACTGAGTGTTATCATATATATCAATGTATACAACGAATCCATTTGATCTGCCGTTGTTTGAACCATGTAGTTGTTTACCAACCCAACCTCTAGGATTCAGTCGTGATACCCGATACTGTATCTGTATCTTGAAACAAAAAGAATAAACTTATTAAAGCATAGTCTGCCTTAGACTACCTAACCTACACGTATGGGCTGATATTGGACCATGTACGACGCCCGATCACCGATCTCTTGCGCTGGAGTTTCATAGCTTTACACAACTAATATTAGCACACTGTACGGATGATTGATGCTATTAAATTATATACACTCACTTTTTCTGCGAGTTATTCTCCGTATACCCATTGTCATTAATTGATGTATATCGTCCTTCCTTTTTTCATATTCATGAACTATCACTCGGCCTCTTACTGAAGTAATTAAAACTGACGTTCCAACAGTGTGGATCGCAAGTTTTGGAAAACAGGACAGCATTCGTTAATATCACGTGTCGTACGTACCCCAGGAAATTAGGTAGGAAAAAAAATATAATTTGTGACAGAAGTGGGACTTGAACCCACGCTCGTTTCCGAACCAGGAATTGATGTTAAGAGTAAGACCTTAACCTGGCGCCATAACCAACTCGGCCATCCTGCCATGTTGTGCAAAGTAATAATATATATATAGCATTAAATTTATCTACAAAGTACTAGGTATGCACTTTGGGGTATTATTCTTAATTACCATCTATTGGAGATTTAGATCATTTCGGTGCAGGTGTTCACACACTTCAGTACCAGAGCTTTTTTTTTTTTTTTTTTTTTTTTTGGGGGGGGGGGGGGGGGGGTTAAACCCGATACTACATTAGTACGGAATTGCGAAGTATGCCGCAGTGTTACCGCAGCTCTATGGTATTATCGAAGACTGCTGTAGTAATTTCGCCCACATTCTTGTCACTCTAGTTGCAATATGTAAGCAACAAGTATAGGGAGTGCAGTGCTAAAAAAGCGGCAGAATGCTATAAGGTTACGGTATTGCTACGGTATTGCTACGGTATAATGGTTAGGATTCCGATTTAATTCGGGAGTTTTGCACAATTCTGTATTGGTATAGTACCTATTACATCCCTTTTTTTGGTACTGCGGTTAGGGGGGCTATCACGTCAGCTACACATTGTGGTTTTATCAAAGAAAGGACAGAAATTTACTTGCGAGAATGGCCGGTGAGTAAATCTGCGTGGAAATTCTCTATTTTTATCAAGAAAAGACCCTACATGGGAGAGGAGGCATCGTAAGGTGCACTTGTATCTATTATATGTACGTACTAAGTATGCAGTACGTACTAAGTATGCAGTACGTACTCTAGCAGCAACGCAAAAAAAGGGAAAAAGAAAGAAAAAGGATCGGGGACACATCTCAGTCACACAAAGTAATGATGTCTTCGAAACCTGAGCTATTTTTACGTGCACGTGTTGGCCCTGGAGGCTTTGCAGCGTGCACACATTCTTGTATATCTTACATGACTTGTACAGGGTCATACCAGACTATAAGTCGGAGTTCTTGCCTACACTAAACTCCCGACTTCACCAGAACTTAATTTTCTCAGCTCACCTAATGAATCAATCAATCAATCAATCAATTTTCTCAGTCCGAAAAGTCACCCAAGATTACAGCGAGATACAGATCTTAGCTTTAAGGCCACCAGGGATGGATGAGATACCAACCTATAGTTGTCGTGAGTAATAAATTGTTATCATGCCTCAATTTCGAATTTCTACTTCATCAGCCTGCAGACGTGCCAGATTGATCAAAATTGCCTCATGTCTGTCCTTGCTGATCGTATATTGCCAACTATAGTTCACTACGATGTGCCTCGCTGTTCCATCATAGGTGATATTCCAGAGCAGAATGGACGCAAGCCATTCTTTACCTCAATGAAATGGCACAACCTAGTGGAAAACCGACTATTGAATAGAAGAAACGATGGCCTACATCGAGGGGAGTTTTACCAACCTAGGATTGTCTCTACTTTCCGAGGAAGTATGAGGCATGCTTAGTTGAAACGATTACGGGATCAGTCGTTTCTCAGAGACTATCATATGTCAATGATAGACGGTAGGGTCAATTAGAGATAATCAGGTCAACGAGAAAGATCAATGATAAGGGAGCGAGATCAATGATAAGGGGCAAATATCGGTAAGCAGTTACATAAAAAATAGTGATAATTTGAGGGAACCTCTCGGCTCTTTATAACTCCTCCAATCTTCTACATTTATGGATAAAGCTGACTTCTGAGCTTTTAGATGTTCTGGTTGATATAACTAAGATTCTCCTCTGCACCACAATAACCGGATGTGTTGAATCTCAAACACCAAAAAAAAAAATAAAAAAAATACACGCTCTTCGGATATAATACTTTCCCGTTAACCCCCAGTACATTTTGTCCGGAAGAAAAGGTCCGGACTGGAAAAACAAATAAACAAAAGCAACCGACCATAGCCATATTACAACAATAATTCAAAGAACGCTTGCACAACAATGCCATATGGTCACGCTCATAAAAATGGTGAGGAAAGACATTGCAGTAATCACAAAGTGGTACAAATGTAAGAAAATAAAATCAAGCAAGATGACTATCACACCGGACACCCTTTCCAAAAAAAATATGTAGTAGACAGGAACTCAGGATACACAAGGAAATGATGTGAAAAGGAACTAAAGCATTGGAGTACATGAAGTAGCAAACATTAAAACCCAATATATAGCCGCAAAGACAAAACAACTACTCCAATTTTTTTTCTTTACTTCCCATTGATCTGCAGGGTTGGCATATGCAACCTCCTCGTTTTGCGTTTCTCCGCCTTTTCTGTAGGAGCTTGAATCACAGGAACTTCATGTTGCTGTGGCTGCTGTTGCATTTTGGGTCTAGCTGGCTCCTTCATAAGTGTTGGATCGAGCTTAGCAGGTGCTAAAATTGTGATTTCATTATCAGCATGTTACAATAAGGATTGAAAGTAAAAAGAGCATACTTCTATTGCTCGCAACTGTCGGATGCCTTGAGCTTTGTGATCCACTAGTGATAGTACGCCATATATGCTCGGACGTGTCTTGAAGATAGTTCGTCGCTGTAACCTGAGTGTGAGATACCAGACTCCTGCCGGCGGGGATGGGATGCAATTTAAACATACTGGACTTCGAAAAGAAACCAGACTTTCCACGGTTCTTCTTGGACAAGATGACTTCATCAAATAGTTTAATTGACGGGTCCGAGGGCTTTTTCGCCTCCCTGTCATGAATGAACTCGCTAAAGGCCTGGGTCTGCTCAAGCATCTGGATGAAGAGCGAGTTTTCCTGTGGCATGCTCTTGAGAAAGCCCTCCATGTTGAAACGGTAAATGTTTCCGGCTTTCTTTCCATCACCAGTGGCCGGTAGTAGAAACTTGCGGTATGTGTAAAACAAACTTGCAAAGCACCTGACGAATGCCGCACGTATTTGATCAGGATGGAAAGCTACAGGGCATGGGAGACCAATTTGAGAAGAGCAGCGGGCATGTGCAGCAACACGACAGTCTGATATTTCATATTAGCGTGAATCATCGTACCATAATTTCAATAGATGGAACACCTACTTGCGCAGCAGTAAATCCCCTCATCTGACTTTTCATCACAAATTGAGCAAACAGATTCAAGATTGTGAGTCTTCCATTGCAAACAATGACCTTCGACCCATTTCGTGGTGTCCGTATTCCTTACCGGCTGCACTAACATGTTCGGCATGACTGTCGATGCTGCAATGGTGGATGGAGCAAATACGGAAGGGGGATAAGCGTTGAACACTGATTGATTGTCAGCACCCAGAGAACTAGTTGACGGAGATGGCGAATGATTCGCAAAGGGCAGGCTAGGCCGGCGCAGAGTTGGCGTACGCTCAAACCCAAATGAAGAGCTCCTACGAGAGGCAGCATCGAAATTTCCAGACCTCTTGCCTCGCAAAGTCGCAGTCAAAGTGAATCCGGTTTCATTCCTGGAGAGACTCGTTCCTTGTGGCGGGTAATTCTGGGACTTTGGAGAGTGAGGGGAGGGCGGGGATTGCCCTCTAACTGTGCCACTTGTTCCCGGCCTTTCGTACCTGGTCTCACCTTTTGACTGTAAAAATGCGTTAAATACCAAAGGTCGTGGAGCAAAGTCGGAAACCACAGCGTCGCCGAATGAGGTTGAGTTCAAGTTGACTAGTTTCGCAAGTGTACTGGGCTGAGGTGTTGGGGTGAATATGCCGGAATTTTCGGACATGAAAGAGTTGTGAGGGAAGGTCTCAATGGCGTACTGAGGAGGACCTACTGGCACACCATAACGGTTATGATGAGGTGCGGCAAGCTGTAATAATGAAAGTAACTTCCTTCTCTGCTGCCTTGGAAGGAGTACTGGTGGTGTAGATGAGATTATCACGTCTGAATCAAGGTCCACACAGACAAAATCCTCCTCGGGGAGTTCAAGTTTGTCATACCGACGCTCTATACCCACGATGTAGGGACATGGAGCCTCAAGAGCAGATAAAAGGCGAGCTGGAAGAACAGGAATGTAGATCCCAAGCCATTGTAAAGGATACATCAAGCTGATCAGAGCACGTGTTGCAATATGCAACATAGATGTGTGGGATGACAAGAGTATGATCCGGGACTCGGCAAGCGCAAACTACCGGGGTTTAGTAAATTTTAACAAAAGATTACAGATAGGAACTCACCTCAAACATTGTTACAATGTTGGGAAGGGACAATGCCCTGAACAAGGCATAAAGGTCGGTCTATATCTATATTAGTAAAGATTCTAGGATCGAACACATAAGCACCTACAGTGCGGCTTCCTGGAATCTCATTCCCAGCCTCTTTCCTGGCAAACATCCTTAACTCACGAATTGCCAACTCAATTTGTGTTCTTGAGGAGTTGGGTGCTGGAGCTTCGGAGCAGAGGTTGACAACATATCTAACCTTCGTCAGTTATGCATGACAAGAAAAATATTGAGCAGCCCATACCTCTCTAAGGGCTGCCACATCCCGATCTTTGGCGAAGATAGAGGAACCCTAAGAATTGATCCATTTATCATGGGCACAACAATTGCCTTCAGCCACTCCTTCCAAAAGTTCACCATAGAAGAATCTTTTCCCAGAATACCATAAGCCCGAGGAATCCACAATCCAGTCTCGCCATCAGTCAGTCCTTCAATTTTCGAAGCTGCGCCATGACGCACAGGACGCAAGAGATCTGCCATAAGCCCAATCTTCTCCTCTGTGGCAATTATCTGATCATCCAATTCCTCTCTTGCCTCAGGATTATTCACCACGGACGGAAGTTTTGCCAGAAGCTTAGACAGCTTTGTACGTTCCGCCGCCAGCCTATTAATTATGTTAATAGTGCTTACAATGGTACCGAATACAAAGTTGGTGCAGGCTATACCTTTCGCCTAAACTAGTAGCAAGCTCTCTCTCTTCATCTGTCATGTTATCTCTTCTCCATTCTTCACACCTCCTCTCAAGATCTTCCGCAGCCCTGGGGTTAAGTGGGATCCAAATGATTATGCATATTCCGTGGAGGCGTGCATTATCACCACCAGTCATTGTCTGTACTGGACGTAAGTATATTACAGAGTATGGCGCACCGAACAGATGAACTTACAAATCCATGCCATGTGGATCTAGGCCTCTCATCACACGAGACAATATTCACATCGTTAGGAAATGCAAACATCGGGACGTAATCCGGGAATGGTCCACGTCGTTTGGTCTCCTCCGTCAAATGCTTTGGTGGGTATCTGTCTAAAAGTACAGGTTCGAACTTGCGTTTCAAGGGATGCATATTTGGAGAGGAATTTAGAGGCTGTGGGGTAGGAATGACAGAATTGTAATTCGACATTCTTCTAGCTGTGCGAACAGATGCTGTAGCTAATGGAAATAGTCAGCGAACCGAACCAACGTCCATCTCGTATTAGACAGCACAGAGTAACAAAATCCTGATTCTTACAAGATCTATTAACAGACGGAGCTCTCCGCATGGATGTCAGGTCCCTCAAGGAAATTCTCCGTCTCAACGAGGGGGCTTTCTGAAGGGCAGCCAGATCCTCACTGACGACTCTCTGAGCGCGGGGATGCATGACAGGCTTGTGGGGTACAATGGTACCCGCACTGAATGAAAGATCATCTAAAAAGCTGTCTCGCTCAGCAGCAAACTTCAAAAGCGCGTTGTCGAAGTCATCGTCGGTCATTCCTTTGAATGTTCTCACTCGGCCATCGTTATTAAGGTTGCCACTACCACTAACAGTGCTATTGTTGTTTGTGATTGTAGAACTGCTTGAGGTTGATGAATTGCGGATCAGATTGTTGGAAGGGTTAGCTTGTACCGGAGAAGTTGCCTCCACAGCATCACCGACATCACCGATTGGAGACAATGGGTCAATGGTCACGGTGCTATCCGGCGAGGGCATTCCATGTGAGGAGGGGCCATTTCTCGGAACATGAAGACTTTCCTGCACCTCTTCCTCCGCCTCGATAGCCTCCAGCAACTGTTCTGTGAAGCTTCGCCTGGCTGGCTTCGAGTCCTGGGCCAGATGTTCTCCATAAGAGATGGAGTCTATTCCGGCTATCCAGAAGTAGTCTGCCAGGGGAGGGTCAAGTCCGGGAGGGTTGTTCATGGCGTTTGGTTTTATACGGGTTCTGAATGTATTGTTTTATATCAGAGAGATTATTGGAGTGATGCGTATGGTGAATGGCTGTTTGAGATGACTGGAGTGTGTGGAAGGGGGGGGGGGGGGGATAAACAGGGTTTAAGGAAAGAAAAAGAAGTTAAAGAAAAGGGGGGAGATTAAAACAAAGAGGATTCGTTCATGACATTCGAAAAGTTTCCGAAGTATGGAGAGCGAGAGGAAACGAGATGGGGACAAATAGCAGCAACAGCAGAAACAACCACAGCGCGGAGGTGTATTTTGTGGTGGTGAACGTCGTTGCTTGCTGGGCGTCGTTGAGGTAAAGGGGCAGCAGTTCCTGAGTAAGGCTCAAACACCGTTGTAGGGCTCACGCTACTCGATCAGGAACGCAACACTAAAAAAAAAGTATGGTATGCAACTAGATATCGATCTCTTCCAGATAATCTTCTCTCCGGGAAAGCCACACGAAGAAGGAAAAGAAAGAATAGAAGGGAGAAATAAAAAAGAAAAAGAAACAAACAATTATCTCAAGGATGAAATCCAGAAAGGATGATAAAGAAGGGAAAGGTCAGGTCAGCCTAGAAAGTCCATAAACCCAAAACAAGAAGAACAGAAACCGAACCCTTTGCTCAGTGCTGCAGACTCTGCACAGACTGGACGCCGGACTAGGGATAGACACACAGACAGGTCCAGCCAACTAACTATAGACGCACAGACAGGGGAGCCGGCAAACATTGTGCCTTACCGACTTGGACTGCTCTCCAGTTTTTTGACATTTCCCCATCCTTCGAAACAACGGTAGGCTTGACCTGCGATTTGCTCCCTCGTGCAGGATAGGAGCAGCTGGGGCAGCTGGGGAAGGTCTCCCGTGTCTCTCGTTGCTGTTCTAGGCGGGAGTCTACCCCCAGTTTACCTGTTCTGGTCTCCTTGCAGTTCCCATCCATAAGCAGCGTCGACTGCGAGATGGTATATCTGCTGGTGTGAACCCTCTGTGGAGGGGTGCTAGAAAAGGTGCAGGGGCAGCGGCGATCTCTCCTCCCAAGAGCTGGTTCAAAGGAGCAGGGTCTAACCTGGCCACTGGTCAGGATGATACGGTATCTTCCACAACAATGTAACTTTGCTGTTCTCGGTCTTTCACCGTTCAATTCAATTGTTCGTGTGGTCACTCTCTCCCCACCTCGTTACTTTGCGCAATCCTTCGACGCAAGCGAGATCATGCCTGATCATGCTTGATATGCGTTGAGGAGGAGAGCCTCAGGAGCCGAGAGGGCTTTAAACTCGAGAACCGGTAATTACGATAGGTACATGTACATACCATACCATAATACCGTATCGTACCCGTACCACCTACGTGCTTGATACATGTGTTGATCTATTACCTCTTGGGAGATATTGACATAAACACAGACAGAACCATATTGGGCATGTGGTCGTATTGCGGCAAGCGTCACTACTAAAATTCGATAAGTGTTGCAGCAAAGGACAACAATACATCGCCGTAGGCACCCGTATCTATGTATCTCGGGGGGTGAAAGTAGGTAAATACATGTAGTGTTAGTTATGTTGTAACTACATGTAACCAGTCAGTATCTTAGTAGGTACTTCCTACCCCGCGACCACCCGATATCACAAGGTTTTAATAACTGACAGTTCAATTCGAAACCGATTATAATCAGCGGGAGGCTCGGGAGGGGAATTTTAAAGGTTGGAACCGGGAGTGCATCATCATCTCTCCATCGTCTAGTCCACCCATCAGTTGTGACGCCAGGACACGTAATCGTCCCCAAGGTCGTCGTGTACCTACTCGAAAAATTACTAGGTTGATGATTCCACGTATGAGAGGCTACAGTTACATGTAGTTACTGGGATTGCTATACAGCATCAATAGGAAAAATGGTATCGAATATCAAATGTCTCTTGGGCTTGCTTCGATCACTTAGGTACTTGATATTATGTAGGTACAGTATGCTGATATTTACATGTTTTTCTCTCTTAGGCATCTCTAGCTAGACATTTTTTAGTATTAATCCGAGTAATATACAGCCATCTAGACAAAACATCAATGATACCATTCAAAGGGGCGCTCCGTTGAATTGACTACCAAGCACAAGCAATTTTGAAGATTAGGATTAAGTTTTTCGAAGTCAAATCCGAGCTGAAAGGTTGCCCAGGTAGGCATACCATCCGTGTTACGATCTGGGCTGCAGTTATTTCCTACATATCGAAACGATGCAGTCATTGTATGTGGGTACTCTAGAGTACTCTACTAAGTACCTGCGCACATACATGTACCTAGCTGCAGCACATCAACAAAGATTGATCTTCAAGGCATTATATTATGGTTCGCCGACGGCAGCGAATACATAGTGCGTTGAATAGATAGGTACGCTGGGTGGGGGGTTGGCGAGATGGTACTCACTACAGTACCTCCTCTTCCCCGCGAGTTATGCACGATGGGCATCGGATATCACAGTAGCTAACCACGTGAACACGCGCTGATCAGTGCTGAATTGTTCACGTTACCTAAATTTCACAATATCTCTATCCAAGGATCATTACAGGGTTAGAGGATTGTAGTCCCGTTACTCTGCCATACTTCTGCTAAAAAGGCCGCAAGCCAATGTTTTCATTTGGGATCAGTATGAATTGCAAGGGGGGACTAAAACGATCTATCACCCTCAATGGCTGGTTAATGGTTGCAGAAAAATAAAGTTGTGATGGGATGGTATCACGACCAACATCTGGGAATTGTGAAGACGAACTACTGCAGCTGATCAGGGTTACACGGAGCTAGACAAGCCACAAGGCTTGAGTACGACGTTGTAACGTCTTTTATGTAGGTACTCCTGAATTTTGAAAATCCCATTTATCCCAGTTAGGAACCGTTATTTTTAGAAGAAATATCGCATTTTTAAAGCACACCAAGAAAAAGCTTGGGTTTAGCCAAACATTGTTACCGGCTTCGATTATTAACATTGAACGCGACTGCCGCTTCTTAATGCCTATACATACTGCACTTTAACTTACCGTGGTCTAAATAGATATCTGAATGTTTCATCAGCGCAAGTTTTATTAGAGAGGAATGGCCCCTGTGCGCCTCAATTTTCTGAAATAGAAGGTCTTAACCCATTATTGGGAATGTTACTTGTCATTGTGTCATCCTAGTAACTATTCTATTTGCGACCTGCACAAGACGCCATATCCATCATACTCCATACACTGTACCAAACGCAACAATACGATCTACACTTGCAACCCCAATCGACCTGTGGAAAGAACACCTCGATCTCCACAAGCAGACCTCCACTCAATGCTCAATTGCCCCAACACAACCTTCTCTGTGCCTGGATCATCGTCCTTTTTTTCTACTGTGCCATCAGGCTGCACTAAAAAGGCCACCTGCATCACATCTCGGGATCGAAGAAGAGGCGTATCCCTGGGATCTTGCCCTGATAAACCTACTCCTGTAGATCCTGGCCAATTGAGAGAAATGGATTTCCACCCCCTCTTTGTACCTAAATTCACCATCTCCAATGATATTGGGCCATCGCCCATGTTTTCTAATTGAGCTTCCAAAATTGCTCTTCCACCAGGGAGGGGCCCTGTTTTGGTTCGAATAGTTAAGCATTGTTGCGCAACAAACTGATAGAGTTTCCGAAATGTTCGAGTTCGACCGGGCATTGTTTCATCGTCATCGAGCTTCTTAGGTGCCTCTGTGTATGTCACCGTGACTGCTAAAACGTGGTTCCCCTCTTCTTTCAGATCATAGCGGACAATCTTTTGAGTAGTGCGCCCAACCTCTAGGTCCACACTTTGCCGCTCGTCACCGCCAAGCTCCAGATTCAATGTCTGTGAGGGTGTCTGCATTTCAGCGCTTATGCGAACATTCGTGGTAGTATTGGGCTTCTCATTATTGGCTGAGAGGCAGCAACTAAAATTTTCGCCGATATAGGCATTTCCAAAAGCTGGTGGAAGGGTAAGCTTGGAGGTGTCAGCCTTTTCTTATCGCTATCTGCACACCTGGGCAAGGAGCGTACCAATGGACTGAGTATAAAGGGGTTCGAGAGTGAGTGGGAAGGATAAGCTTGGGATTGCTTAGACAAGGCCTCAAGTTCTAGAGCTCCAGAGGCTGTGTCGACAGGGAGTGGATGCTGCTCTGCTAGAGAGGGTCGGGAGAGCCTACAAAGGTTAGCAATGGGATGTGCGCTCTAAGATACTACGAAAGGGGAGCTCACCGGAGCACCTTAAGGGAGATCGAGTGAGGCTCCTTAACTTCTGAGACTGCTCGTTCACGAGGCATAGCTAACTATAGGATCTGATTGGTACTAATTGTCTTTGGACTGTCGTTTGTTTATTAAAGCCGATGTTGACGTTGCACTCGAACTCTTCATCCAATCAATGAGAGCCGCGCCAAGCTTCCATTACTTACACACCCCTGACCGATCTAGGAACATGTTTTTATTTCAACCCCACGTTGAATTAATTGACATCGCCGTAGGTTCTCTACATACATACTACATAGTGCCCTGCATCACCACCACACGGAGCATTGTATTGAAGTAGCCATCAACTTCCTTTATTTCTTATTTACTCGAGTTTCAAATGTCAGTACCTTTGCAGCGCATTGACTGCTTAAAGCTCATCCTTGACACCCCAAAAGGTAAGCATATGGCCGCTATTCTATCTATAAAGGAGTTAGGGGGTTTAAGTCGTGTGCATTCTAGGGCGTGGGGTCTTTGCGGCAAAGAGGATCGAGGCTGGAACCATAATTGACACGGCGCCGGTGATAATTCTTACCATGGAAGAATTCGATAAATATATTCAACATTCAAAGCTCCTAAACTACAGCTAGTAATTACCCTCTCATGCGCAAATCTCTTCTCCCCGCATTTTAATTTTCCTTGTTTACCGCCTAATCGCTTGTCATTATTATTCTGATTCAATGGGACGTGAAACTAATTCACTTTTCCCATTCTCCTACTGTCTGTGCAGTAACTGGCCAAAGAGGTGCGAGTCTTCAGGAAAGTCAGTGATGCATCAGGCTATTGTCCTGGGATTAGGATCGATGTTTAACCACTCGTCAATCCGCCAAAATGTGGGATGGAAGCGTAATCTAGGCGCGGAAGTAGTCGTCTACTCAACGTTACGTGACATTGAGGAGGGAGAGGAATTACTGATATCGTATGGAGCTTGTTTGACATTCGAAGATGTAGAGGCGGAGGAAGCCAGGAGTGATGATGAGGATGGACAAGATATATTGAGTCGAATTGATGTTTGATACTCGTAGTTTTATAGATAGATTATTGTACTCACAAAAGTACATGTAGAGATTGATTATAATTACGGGTTACAGTACTGTAGTTAGGGCTGGTAGTACCTGCTCTACCTACTATGTACTTTACATGTACCTACATGTGGTTGTCCCTGCAGACAGCTGCATGCCAAGGTATAGCTATCAGAGCTAAGATTATGTACTCCACAGGCTAGTCTGCGGAACGTCACCACTACTCCACATACATCATACATAGAGGTAGTTTAAACACGCGACTGCCCGCAACATCAATTCTTATTATTTCATCCATCCCTACCAATTTTTTGTACCACCAAACATATATATTAAATATATTTACCGAGAACCCGCACAATGGCCCCTAGGAAAAGCAATCCTCCGCTGTGTGTAATCGATCTCACTGAAGACTCCCCCAACCTGGAACCGCAGCCTGTGTATGCAGCTCCAGCTCCAGCGCCGAAAAGAGCAGGTCGCAAACGAAAGATTGACCTAGCAGATACCGACAATAGTCTCGTACCCATCCCCTACCAGCAGCAAGCTGGGTACGAGCCTAGAGCAGACATTGAGATAATCGGGTTCAAGCCCACATCAACAAAGCCGAGAGGTGTGGGGAAAGGAAAGGAGGTTGCAGGACCAAGCTCTGCGAAGGCACCGAGCATAAAAAAGGCAAAAAACACACCTGCAGCAGAAGAAGAGAAGAGACTCGGGAGGTGGCGTTCACAGCCAACCCATCAGCTGAGAGATAGGATACATAGATGTCTTACTCAACGGATGGTTGTGTTGGACAGACATAGGAATATGGAAGTGTCCCCTCCTGAGGAGATCTTCCAAATTGCTGGGAGTACAGGGAATGTCTATCAAGTCCATATTAAACGCAAATCGACTTGTAGTTGTCCAGATGGTATTCAGGTGAGGGTTCCAGTCTGTAATGTGATCATAACCTATTGTGCTGATTTGAGTAGAACGGGCTTTGTAAGCATATACTCTATGTTATGATGAAGGTTCTAAAAGCTCGCGATGAGCTCGTTTATCAGCCAGCCCTTCTCTCGACTGTAAGAACCGCATTCTTCCCAATTTTAGAAGAGTACAGTCGAGAAGTATTCTTACCATGTATATAGGAGCTCGAACAAATTTTTCTTAAAGCTCCTGCCGCTCCTGCAAGTGATTTATCGAATAGTGGCCCTAGCAACAGAAAGCCACTTGAAGATGACGACTGCCCTATCTGCTATTCCGAATTTGATAACGAAGAGAGCACCGTATACTGCAAGTCTCAATGCGGAACCAATATTCACGAAGTGCGTAAACTTTCCCGATTTGAGATTATGTGCGGTTCTTGTGGCTTACCTGGTTACAGGCGTGTTTCCGGCAATGGGCCGCCACAAAAGGCCCCGGTCTAGTAACCTGTGTTATGTGCCGTCAACCCTGGCAAAGTGAAAACGTGAAGTCTGCTCTCGTGAACGGAAAGATTGGAGAGGAGGGTTACGTGAATGTAGCTGAGCAATTGGGTATGAGTCTTGAGCGTGGTATGTATGGACTATATTCTTCGGGGGACGCCCTGCTCACGACTTAAAACAGACACATCAACGTATGCTCCGGGCTTTGGAGCCTACGGAGGGCATGGATATAGGAGAAGGGGCTATTGGTAGTTTTCTTCTCTTTTCATCTAAACGAGCGATTTATCGCTTGGGGATATATTCTAGCCACTTCTTTCATATTTTTTCCGTTTTTGTGACGGTTGATTTTATTTCAAGGCGTATAATCTGCTAAACGACCCAAATATATTTCCTTTGTTCAAATTTTTATTAGTTACTCCGCTTACCTGCTCAGCGAGTTCCCCGTTGAGCGAGACTTCACAAATATTCCTTGGCTGCAGGTTTGGCGGCCAGTTTTTACGTGGTAGAGGATCCCAAGTCTCGGTCGTTGGGGAACACGCTGAGCAGGGAAACTGAGTACGGCTTCTGGGTACGAGGTCAGCTATGGCGATATAATAAAAGCCGAGCTAAATATTTATGTATAGCACTGATATATTATCTATCACCAATATGAAATTTATCCCACTCAATAATAATCGCTCTTATATTTCTCAATTTTACCTATCGATTCCTTGAATGTCGTCAAATTAACTATATGTATATATTAGCCATCACATCCACCGTTGTGATTAATATAATTCCATCATTGCGGCCATTGTTCTTTCTGAATCCAGTTTTTTGTAAACCCTCCCAACTAGATCCTTGTACCTCAAGAATCTCCGTACCTATTGGTCTGAAATTTAGCAGTTGGTTATCGCGGAAAATATGTTTATCTGCATCGAGACTCATACGCAGTAGGCGGGGTATATAAGGGAAGGGTAGGCCCATTTACACGATAAACCTCTAGTCTAAATTAAGGATGGATGTGCAGTATCCCTTTTTCTTTACCTATATACTAAAACTCTTATCTTCTGTGTAGGTACATTGCATGAGTAAGGGTCGCGGCGGGGGGTAATGGGATCTGCTAGTCGTCAGATGCATAAGATGCATATGCACTAGCTAAAAATAAAAATGAAATAAATGGTTTGAGTGGGTGTTCTTTAGTAAAACAGAAAACAGATTTCGATCACTACCCGTGGGGATAGCTCCGACCTGAGGAGAATGCAAATTGTTTGGTGACTGCCTATCCGCTAATAAATACATTTAGTTAGTGTAGTACTGGTCTACACAGTTAATTACACTACGGCGGAGAAAAAGTGATTAATCCGATCAATGACCATGGATGACGTTTCTGTATAATGACCACCAAATATTGTGTAATATCAGAAATCACTCGATAATATTCATACATGTATGTTTTTTTTTTTTTTTTTTTTGGTTAATTCATTTCATACATGTATGTTATATATATTATCTCCCTACGGCGGAAGCATAAGCGGAGTCCTAGTAGATCGCTATTAATACATAGTAGGGCTTTGGGACGCGCAATTATACTGGTGTCTACTTAATCCTGGACCATAAGTATTTTCACCCAAGTTGGCTTCCGCATGATAAATCTTTCTACTTTCGCTTAGGGTCTCTACCACTACTTTTCGCGGGGATAGTAATTATAAAAAACTTGCATTATTCAATCGATATCTTTCGAAGACACCTTTAAGAGCAAGTGGGCTTTACTTATGTGGAGAAACGACAGAGAGTGCTGAGATGAATTTATACGTATACTAGGTTCCACTTTGGCGATATACAGCCGATATAAGGCCCAAGTGATTATTTTAAGGTGCAGTGGATTCAAGTATGGAATTGATGGTTGAAACATGCGGAGTGTACTAGACTTTACAGATGTAATCACGTTACAAGCAGATCGCCAAACGTATAAATGAATCCATTATACCATATGGCCATTAAATGATAGAGGAACGAAGCTGGCCGTAAATATAAATACGAATTCCGCAAATTTGGAATCCATGAATCGGCCAGTTATTGTACTAGACACAGTGGATACGTTCGCATGTATTGGTGCTCTATCTTTGATGAAAGATCAGAAGCGGAGGTCGTAAATATGGGCTCTGCCAATTTAAATCCATAAATATCATTGCCGCTATATAGATGACGCTGATTGGACTGACACTTTAGTTGAGGTTGGTTTAAAGTTTTTAGCGTGTACGCCCTCCCCGTTTAGTGGCTCCATAATAACTTAAGCGATTTTAAGCCTCACTCCCAACACCAAACGTCCAACATTCATATTCCTATATTCACGATTACTGAAGAAAACCAACCCCCAAGACCTCCAAATCATGGCGCGCCCCCAACAGCCCCAATTTCAAAATTCCCACCAGGAGCTCTCCCTTTACTCTCACATCACTTCATCACGACAGCCTCAGATTCTCCGCATTATCTCTGGCATCACTGGCATGCTTCCCGACACTTCACTGCACCACACTCTCGTCTTCAAGCCCAAACGGCCCAAACAACTTGGTCCCGGTGGTGGTACAGAGCTATACTACGTGCACCTTGTTTCCAGGATCGACGAGACACAGGAGGCAGAGGGGAAGAGCTATGATGTGCGGAAACAGAAGTGGACGATGACGCTGGAGGATATACCGGAGCCGACACGGAAGCCGGTGACCAGTAGGAGTGTGTTGAGCTCAGACATCAGTGAGGGCGATGCTGTCGCTTTTATGGAGAGTTTGGGATATATGTGAGTTTAGGTACCTGTAGGCGGGGTGTGCTTCAATCAAGATATTGATAGAACTGGATTATAGATTCCAGGCAGCGTATTTCACGAAGTCAGAGCGGCTGGTACACAATAACGTCATTATTAAGTTGACACAGATATTAATTCCGCCAAACCCTCCGGCCCCAGACAATACAGTCACGCCGTCGGCAGATGAGATGCTAGGAAACCCATTCCCGGTGTCATCTCTGACACCGCTCGACCCGGCTAAATCATGGATTTTGAAGGCGAGTGTACGAGTTCAGAGTAACCAAGACGTAGAGAATCTCAATGTTGGAGCGAATGAGCTGAAGGGATTCAAAGAACTTATGAAGGGGATGTGTGATTTGGAGGTTGCAGAGAGGTTGGCTTTGGATACCAGGGTGAGGTAATTAATTAGCGACTAGTAATTCACTTGTTGTACATTTAGAACGATCGAAGTCACCAGTGATAACATTTGTGTTATAATATTTAAAATACTGTGCCCTACAAATTTAGTAGCCCACATGCAGTATGATAGACTGCCTATAAAAACTCGTCAGAAGGTGCATCCACTATATATATCTATACTTGACGGGTTCCTGGTAAGCGCCCCATGTTTGCGGGTCTCTTTCTGTAAGCATACCGCCCCATAACGAGGTAGTTTACAAACATTTCTAGGTTATTGTGGGTGATTTACTATATGAGTCGGGCGGTGGAGGGTTGAGACGGAGAGGTTGGCGGGAGAGATCCCTACTAAACACTTGGCATCGATTTCCTATGTAGTTGAAATCGCCACGCCTCACCATTCATCTCGCCCAACCCTCCACTGCTCTACCTCTGATTTCGCGGGCCGGATACGATTGTCAATGATCATTGAGATATAAAGTTTAAGAAAAGGTCTACAATTACAATAAAGGTTAAAATCTAGTGTGTACTAGCCCTATCCAGCTCCACTCATGATTCCCTCTATCCCCTAGGTTATAAAAGCCAATCTTAACACGTTCCCCCCTCCGCTCCCCCCCTTAAAATCTTCAAAAAGCTCTGCACGACAGATATTGCCATAACACAGACCCCAAAGACAACTGTTGCACCAGCAACGTACGTCTTCCAGCTCCTCGTTGCGAGCTTCATATAGCACAGCGGTGGCAGTATATACGCTAGTGCACATGCGCTCGTGGCACCAATCAACTCAAACACAACACCCAGATCACATGTAAGAAGCGACAGTACCATTGCAGAGACAACGTGCGAGGTCCCGAAGATGAGATGACGCTTCATACTAAAGGGAGCGTCGGGGAAAAAATAGGTTTCGACTACTTCTCGACATACAAAGGCTTCCAGCGGGAGCGTGGTTAGCATATTGAGGCCAAAACAGCTATAGTTTGATTGTTAGTACAGGCCCTATATAAACCTTCATATGGGTGAGAGAGACAGACAAGCGCGCAATGTTAACCATGACGTTGTTGGAAGGGAAGTTGTTGAGGACATTGCCTTCGGTTTTGTCACCGAATGTGAGGAAGCCACAGACGGCCATAAGAAGACAGGCAATCATGGAGATTCCCGTGGAGTAGTGAGTTACTTGCGCAAAGCGGTCCAGAGTAGGTGTTTTGAGGGAGCCATAGATCAGGAGTGAGTTATGGTGGCATACAAATGCTGGGTAGACCGTCTATTAGCTATGGCTCATTTAACTTAGAGGAAGGGTGGAGAACGAACCGAACGAGATGACACCAATGGCTTGGAATACTCCATCATTGATTAGAAGCATGTCTTTTCCAAGCTTGCCTTTCATATCTTCGGGCACGGTGAAGCCTTGTGTTATCACTGTGAGGACAATGATGAGCATTGATATGAGCGCTAGAGTAGACGCTTTCGCAAGCTTTGCAATATCACGGTACCAGCTCAATGGGTAGGATATTGTAAGTATGAAGATTACAATACATGCTCTTCGATTCGTGAATATGCTGAGTATAGCATTGGAATCCGCAGATGGGAAGAGCGCATATATAACGTGTGGAATTGTGTCGCCGACTATTATACAGAAGGCTATCATGCCTCCGAAGGCGCTAAAAGGATTATTAGAGGTTCGACTTGAATTTAGGCAGTAAGCCCGAATTTTGGGTGGGAACATATTTTGCAATAGATGCAATTACTTACAACGCCCATTGTGCAACCTAAAGGAGAGAATTAGCTTGTGCTTATTGCTTATACCACTACAATTATTACTGGGAAACTAAAAACTTACAGAAATCGCGATCAATCCAGGTCTTCCAAAACAAGCACTGACGGTAGCTTGAAACGACTTTGTCCCACTGAGTTTGGAGTTTATTACTATTAAGTTGATGGTCCAATCGACCTATGCATATCGTCAGCTGCAGCCCTATCGCCTGTGCGGAGAAACCAATGCAATGCAGGAGTTCTAGCGTAGGCGTCATAGTGTACCTACCGTTATCGTCAATCCCACCAACAAGAATATACCCATTCCAAGCCCAGCTTGTCGAAATGCATATGGCTGTCCTATATCCCGGAGTATTTGTTAGTACGCGCGTCCTAAATCCCTAGTATTGCGCGCGCGCGGGTGTCAATAGATGTAAGCTGGCCTACCAATGATACCCGCACCAATGATACTATTGGCCATATTCATGAACGCCATCTTCATACCGCTCTTTGGACGCGCATTCTCCAGAAGCTCTCCGAACTCAAACTGCGAAGTTGGCCTGCGACCTAGCAATCCTTCGTCCTCATCGTCACTATGGAGATAATCCTCCTCTGCCGTCCAGCGATCTCCCGTCTCTTCCTCCTGATCATCGCCAGGAGTCTCGTCTAGAGCAAACCGGACCGTCCGGTTAGGTGTACGTGGAACTGGCTGTAGCGGCGGCACTGGTGAACGACTAGGTGCGGGAGCTTCGGGGGTGACAACTAAATCGTCCGATGAGTGATCCGACGATAGAGCCGAAGAGAGAATTGAGTCATTGGAGCTGCGCCTTACGGGGCGGGAGCTGTTGGCAGTGGTAATGCTAATTAGAGTGGAGGGAGTGGACATTTCAGGTTCAAGGCATGGTTAGTTGTAAAGCTTGTGTTCAGATGGGGGGGGTGGGAACTTTGGTTTGGTTTCTTTGATCGGCAGCCGCCGTCCCGTCACCGGATCTGCAGGGTTCTTTGGTTTCCGGGAAAGCCACAAAAGCCTCAACAGTCTGACATGGAAGATCACTCGCTGGAACGAATGCTCTTCTGTGGGGAGGGGGAAGATTGATCTCGTTTCGATATCTCGATGATATTTGTGTATGGTCCTTTCTAGATTAATACATGTAGCGAACCAAGCTAGTTCAACATTTATTATTCAATCAAAACTAGAAGGGCCTCACTACATGTAGTCTATTTGCAAGCACAATGCAGGACAAAGAAAATAAATCACAGTCGACAAAGAATAAAATATACCAAATAAGGAAGGTGTCTACATAGCCGTTTTGCATGAGGTAAAGAAAACAGAAATGCACAGATGAGATATTCTGTGCGGGTGAGATAGCATGACCCTGACCGGGTGAGACATGTAGCATGATCGATCTTGTATCATTTACCCTGGTTGGTCATTTGTCATTGGCCAAAGTTTGCCATTAACTCAGTTGTGGCCCGATTCCCACTGTAGATATGATGTGTGTGTGCACCTGGGGGAGTTTGGTGAGACTTCAAGTCTTGGGAGAATGCCAGAAGCATGTTTTGTCACTCGCTCCAACTTGACACCTTGGCATCAACTCAACGACAATGCAGGAACAGTCGTATAACCATCAATAAGTTCCCGGCGCAGACACAGGATGACAATAACGTTTCCCACCTCCCGAGGCCGCTTTCTAAACAATCATAAGGTAATCACGAGATCTCTAAATCTCAAGTAGGGATGGCAGGAGACAATTATTTAACCTTGAGATAGGGTATATTTTAGCGCTGTGTTTGAGGGCAAATATTACAAATATTACGCAAGGACACGCATGGGAAAGGCTTCTGATTGGATAGTAAGTCTCGTTTCCTTAGCTAGAGCGAGAGCCAAGGAAATAACCTAAGGATCATTCACAGCACATTCCAACTTATGGCCTCAAGCTACTACATGTAAAGTTCGAATCTTTAGATTCCATCGGTTTAACTTTAGTCACATGTATATATTGCTCCATAGTAAAGTGTCAATATACAGAAGCTTCCTAAACTGTTCCATCCATTGATTTCCAAAGCTAATTCATGAAGTAATGATAATGGGTGTGGAAATGAGTATTTCACGAATTTCCGTGTGGTTAATTTTGGATTCTACACAATACTTTTTGTTGGCCCGGCAAAGCACATACAAACCAAAAGAAAATCAATATAAAGAAAGGAAGAAGTAAAAAGACTACATAATAATGCAAAGAGAAAAAGTACATCAAGAAATAAGAGACAAACCACATGAAGAAGAGAGGGGGAAAAAAACAAAAAACCAAGACACAGTTCGAGAGTATACTACAAGAGCAAGCCATCCAGCACCACCTAAGAAATTTTAACTCCTTCCACTCGCCTGCTCGTCTATGCTGCTTTGCTATATTTATTCCGACTTGCTCTTCTTCTTCCCGTCTTTGTCCTTCTTACTCTTCTTCTTGTCGACTTCGCCGTCGGTCTCAGCCTCTTTCCGTCTCTTCTTACTAGACTTGTCTTCTTTCTTATCTTTCTTTTCCTTCTTTGCCTCCTTCTTTGCCTTCTTCTCAGCCTTCTTCTTTGCCTCCTCGTCCGTCTCCTCGTCCTCCGATGACTCGGCAGCAGGGGTAGGTGCCGAAGGAAGAACGGCAACGATCGTCTCCTCCCTCTTCTTTCCTTTCTTGTCCTTCTTGCTTTTCTTCTTTGTTTCGGCCTCATCCTCGGAGTCCTCGGAGTCAGTGTCCATCTCAACATCGTCTTTGATGGTCTTGACAGTAGCCTCGGCGACAGCCTGTGCGGCAGATGGTGCATCCTCCATAACGGCATCAGCGTCAGGGTTGTACTTCTTAGCCTCCTTGATCTCCCACTTGCCGGGTTGCCTAGCGCCACCAACAGGAGTAGCATTGGCATTCGCACCTCGAGGAACAAGTGGCTTGCCCTCAAGTTTGCGGACACGGTTCTCAACCTGGGCGCGCATGGCAAGACCGAGGGCAGCAGACTCATCCTTGTCCTCGGTGAGAGCGTCAACTCTCAGACCAAGAGTGGTCTTAGTTGCGAGCATACGGGCGATCTTGCCCTTGTTCTTTCCGGTTGATTGACCAATGAGGGAAGCGTGGTAGATCAAACCATACTTAGGGGTATCGTGCTTAGTTTTCAACGCTCTGAAGAGCGCCTTCTCGGCACCAAGAATCTGGACAGTTGAGGCAGGTGATTTTGCAAGGTTCATCAGAGAACCAGCGTGGGCAATGAGACGAGCCCCGACAAGTTCTCCGACAAGAACAGTCAAATTGGGTGCAATAGCTGACATACGGGCTGACAAATAGGATGACAATTGCTGTCTGTACTCGGTGAATGAGATGACCTGCTCAGCAAGAAGGGTGATGTTGTTCAAATCCTCATTGGTGATCTCAGTGCCCATAGAAACCTCGGCGGCAGCCTTGAGGGCGGTCTCAATCTCCTCGGGGAGGATCTCCGAGAGATCGGTTGTGGAAGCCGAGGATCTCATGCCCATGGTCTTGATTACTTTGGCGTATGCCAAGTTGTCGTTGATGATTTTGCCCATTTCGGGGAAATGCCATCCGTACCATTCCTTGACACGCATAGCGTAGATGTTGAGCTCTTTATCGAGATCATCGAGAAGGGCGATCGCCTGAACGATCATGGTGTCGACCTTATCAGGGCTGAACTTGAGCTTGTGGCGTGACAGGGAGTGGGAGAGACCCAGTGACATGGTGGAGATATCTGAGGGTGTGAGACCGGGAATGAGTGCGGTGAGGTGCTCGCGGATCGCTCGGTACAGGTCATGGGTGCTGGAATCAGATATTATGGTGAATGAGAGACCAGGGAGCTTGTTGATGGCAATTCCTGCAACATATTAGGATACTGGCAAAACTACAGATCGAAACGAAACCAAAGGTGGGGTGGATGGTAAAACATACCCAATTTAGGGTCAGCGACAACGAGTGAAGCCTTCTTCTCATCTTTGACCGATTCCAAAAGATTTGAGAGCATAGGCGAAACCTTGTTCTCTACAATTGCAGTGACTTCTTCTAGCGCAGTAGCAGCACTGTCGAACTTTGCGAATTGCTTCAACTTCAATCTTTACATGAATTGAGATGTTAGCTATTATTTTCGCCTTAATTGGTCCTCCTATGCATTGAGAGTATACACTCCCATATCATAAAGCCAAACAGCAAGAGAGAAACATACAGTCCAGCAGCGCCCTCAGGTGTGCTCATCTCACCGGCAAGGTCATTCTTCTTCAACAATTTCTTGTCTTTAGCCTTGAAAAGAGCATAACCAGCACTGGTTTCGGTAAGAATTAAGAACGCCATTGTCTCGTCTGTCCTCGTGGGGGGGTTGATTGATTAACACGAGGTTTGAGCGTTGTGATTGAAGTTGGTTGGAAGAGGTTGAGGAAGGGACTTTGCAGGTGTGGACGGGCGCACTTTTTTTTGCAGAAGAACTTTTTTCCTGGGTTGTTGTTGAGCCCCTAACAATAGCTTTGTTTGTGGGGCTGTTGTGCGTCGATCTTGGCAGGGCACAGCAGTCTGTCTTTTCCTAATCCTAGAGACGGAGAGTTGGATCCCAGGGACTATCGCTGTCGACTGAACGCCTATGGGGAATATTCATACTCACCGAGTAAACATGCAGATCTGCCAGCTCCCGTCGGGACCTAGAATCCCAATTCCACGGAAACAAAACAAAACATTATAGTTCATTTCCCCAGGCCCCATATGAACCATCAGCCGTGAGAGGCACCAGGACGGAGCCGATTACCATGGTTGACTTGATTTACAATGCACCGAATGCACCGGGATGACAATACGGAGGAGGAAACTAAGGATTCTATGTCTCATCCCTGGTAACTACCCTAACAACAACACCTACCTATAGATTCCCATACGTTGGGTTCGTCCCGGCCCTTAAGCCTTAAAATTTTATAAGATGGTACTCCGGGGTATTTCTCCTAGGCTGATTTACGTTAATTGTGAGAAAGAACCTACATCCTTTACAGTGACCACACATCAAGGTCTGAAGAAAGGAGTTTTATCCTTTTCAAGGACTAGGAATGCATGCGCGTAGTGCACATTAAATATTTACGTATCCCACTGGAGTTTACTTAAGTTAATACCTATCCTAGATACATACATGTATCAATTCGAGTGATGCAACATGACCGAGTCTGCTTGCCAGAATTGGTTGGTCGAAGGTCCTGGATCAGAGTTTGAAAAAAACCATTCGGAGACTCTCCCAAGATAGGGTAAAGGTTCGGCAAGACCGCTTCAGAAGATAAATCAGCACAGACATATCAGATGAACCATGGATGGACTAAATATGGAGGTACCGTGAATTCTCTAATGTGGAAACGTTCACGACTTGACAATAACGACAATATGGATGGCGTACAAACCTGAATCACCAACCGAGGTGTTTGGATCTGTGCGGTTATACGGTAAGACCGGAGCTGTCATCCGTCCAGTTGACATGTTTGGTTTGAAATTACCAGCATGGGGTACTCCATGTGTGACGTTGAGACTTTTCTCCTATCGTCTTTGCATTTGCTTTTGTTTTCTTTTCTTTCCATAGGCTGGGAAGCCTGAACTGGGTGTGCTCTGACCTCATCGGTAAAGACGCCGCGAGATAAACGAATGTTCCATCTGCTGCCCAATGTCCGATATTAAGAAATCTGGAAGAAAGTAGACATGGGACCGCTCTTGGGCCCCTGTTGGCCTCATTGGGACTCACCACCTCAACCACGATCCTACCACCATCTCTGTGATATTCCATCTCTACTGGTAGAGGGTTCACTCGGATCCATTGATGACCTTTTGAAGGATCCGCTATTGCCGAGTCAGAGACGTAGACAGTTCACCCCTAGTCTCGTGAGATTCTAAGGCATTATAACCGGTGATGTGGTTCATCTATACTGCCTGAGATGTTACATGACATCTAAATGCGAGTCCTATCCATCCGTTCCGGCAGCTTCTTTTCTTTCACGGGGCTCCCGAAACCCTAAACCGCCTCATGGGAATGCGAATACATGTAGTGGTATCTCCAGATCTATGTTCGCTCAGACTCATTGATGGCCTTCTATATCGAGCCCAGAGTACTCTTCTACACGGGAATCTAATGGAATCTAGTATTAACAATATATAATTGGTATTATCAAATAGATGGACTCGATAATTTGAAGCCCTGATCTCGATAGATCAACCTAAAGTTAATATGGCGACAACGATCGATCCCATAGAATGGGGGTCCGAGGAGTAAATCTTGTTCCAGGGACACATGGAAACACTGGGTCACATATGTAGTTACTAACAACCCAAGTAGCAGGGCCTTCCATTACTCAGAATCAGTCACCCGGACCAATTAACGACCTAGGCTAATAAGTCAAGCCGTTCCTCCTATGTACCAGCTTCTCGGCACATGAAGCGTCCGTTGAATGATTAGCCGAGAAACAGATTCATTTGTCTCAGTTGCTCAAGAGCTCAGCTGGCTGTAGAAAATTAGCTTGGACCACAATGATAGGCTAACCCTGATCTTTATGTTGTACCGGTGGGTTATCTTGAGAATAATGCGTTAGAAGGTATTGCGTATTTGATGCGCTGGGTGTGAGCTAGGTGGATGCCTGGGCTACGTGTACTCGAAGAAGGGGGATTTCCCGAGTGATATAGTGTGACCCAATATTGCAATAATAATTCAATGTAATCACAGGTGGTGTTCACGGTCACCAAATGTATTTTAGCATGTGAAGCTGTGCTCTAGGTAGCTAGAATGACAGGCAGGCCATGGCGCGTAAAGATTGTACTCTGGGATCTAAATTTTCCTTGTAAAGAGGCTGTGGCGCAACAGAATCATCAAATTTAGCTATCTATAGGCAAACCCGTGTTACGAAGTCAATGGAAAACCCGCAAAAATGCATTTTTATACAGACAGTAAAAAACCAAAGCTGGCAAAGATTTGACGAAACGAACTCCCCCATTTTTTTGGTATATTTAGGTTGATGACGAGAAGGCGAGATTGATTTGGGCGACCCAACCAGGTGGAAAACGAGTACCCAATTATCTATTTTCCATAGTTGAACAGAAGAAGAACCCCAATCACGCAACCTTCCCACCACACCCGAGAACCAAACCCAGCTTTTGAATTGTAGTTTATTTTTAATTTGCGTCCCAGACCGTTTATTTCTTGTCCTTGCTGACCTTCTTTCCGTGGGTTCCCCGTACCTCCTTGGCCTTGTTCTTGCGCTGCTTGCCTGTGTTTTGAAAACGCCATAGGTCAGCCCCCCACCACACATACAACATGGAAATAAAAGGAACATACGTTGTTGACGAGACGCCTTCTCGATCTTGGTGGCGTCACCGTAACGGACGAGGCGGTAGTGGGGCTCGAATTTCTTCAGAGCGTCGTGGGATTCGTAGATCAAAGCGAAGCCGGTGGACTTTCCGCCACCGAACTGGGTGCGGAACCCGAAGACGGAGACCTGGCTCTTGTCGGCCTTGTAGAGCTCAGCAAGCTTAGAGCGAAGCTCATCCTTGGAGACATTGGGTCGGTTGGGGTGGAGAACATCACTATTGAGTTAAGTGGCCAAGTCAGTTTCAATCTCAATATTTCGCGATGTCTAAAAAAATCCTTCAATATCCCGGTCCAAGCCAATTTCCAGCTTTCATATCCACCCAATGACCGTTCCAATCTCTCATTTCTCTTCTTCCAGCTCTTTACCGATAACACTTTCCCGGCACGCAAACAAAGGTAGCAAGTGGGATAACATACACCACCATCTGTTTCCTTCCCAGAAGGGCGTTGCTCAGGAACTTGCGGGTCCTCAAAGTGACAGGGTCGGCCATGTTGAATTTTTCGAAAATTTACTGAACTTCGTTGAAACCGGCTTGGTTGTCGGGAAGGGCGTCGAGGGATATTGTCGTGGTCGTCGTCGGGTGCAGAAATTTGGTGGTATTCACAAACCAATTCGCCTAGCTGGACAAGTTGCCTGTGTGCCCGGGGTGCATAATTTGTGTGAGCTAGTGACTGCTGTCTCTTATTTGAGGTTACCCGGCATGCTAGGTTTCTACCCTAAGAAAACCTGACCCTGATCCGTTCCTACTTGAAAATCAGGCCCCTAACGTTGCGGTTAGGACAGCTCGAAAAACGTTTTAGAATCGAATACAGTACGGTGAGGTCCTATATGTATGTGACTCGTTCTAGATGTTGATCATGATGATATGGTCTTAAACTTTGCGAAGTCTTCCGCCTTTTCAGGTTCTCTATTATTATCGTGTGAATATATTTCATATGGGTTTTTTGGTCTTGTTTGCTTTTGCGGGGCATAACAGGCAGTCCTGGGTATAATAATCTCTTTTGGGGATTTGGGTCCGAAGGGCTTTTGGTTCCACCTTCATCCACCGCTTGGGGATTTCTGTTGGTTCGATGATCGACGTGGGGCGACAGTTTTCACTCCATCCATCTGAATCAAATTTGTGTAGAGGTGTTCGACGGTGGAGTTACTGAATCACCATTCAGCTCCTTTACTCCGTCAATCCATGTGATAGGAAGGTAAAGAGGTAAGTACTCAAAAAAAAAAAAAAGACGAGGGGTGAAGTTACTCGATCCAATCATTCCTTTATGCGCAGTAGTATTAGGATTTTCTCTTTAGGACTGGGTTCTCATAGATACGAGATGTGATGATACATAATATTTGCCGTTTTGACCGTTCATGGAAAAGGAGACAGAAAAAACAAAAGTAGGTACGTCCGTCCCATCGGTAATTGTCTTTGTCCACATCTCGATCTCGATCCTAGCATAGGTGGTTTTCAGGGTTGCTGATAGTAGAAACAAGGGCCTACCCGCTCGCTCGGCAATCCTTCTTAGATACCTGTGCTCGTAAATCCGCGCTGGCTTGTGTACCTACCAACTCATCCCGGGAGGACATAGGGTTACAGAGCGAAGAGGGATTCAGATGTGTATCGAATCCAACAGATGAGCCATTAAAAAAAATAGATACACAGAACTCTCCACCCCCCCGGCTGCTGCGGCGCACAATTATCTGGATCCGTCAAGGGCGCTGAGGCCTCTCATCTGAAAAGTTGTCATTCATAGGGCAAAATAATCCCTGTCAGCACCTCATACATACGCGGCGAATCCAGCGACAATACTGTGCAGCATCTGCCATCTGTCCCCTCCACCCCGGGTTCTAAATAATAACCCATCTTCCCCCACAGACAAGCTCATCACCTGGTTATTACAGTAGTTAAGCCAACACCACCATACAATGGCCGAACCTCCACCATCACCCGCCCCAACACTCTTCCGCGACTCTTTCCAATCTCCAGCTGATCTTCCAAGCGGCTGTAAGTATCCCTCTGGTCTACTTGAGCCCCATCTCCAACTTGCCTCTTCTAAGACCGAGTCCTTCGCAGACAATTCTTCCAACGACGACCACTTCTCAGACGCGCAAGAGGGTCGCGAGTCAGAAATGAGCGACTCAGACACCACACCATCTCCCACGATGCCCATACCGCCCACAGATATGTCCAAGTTAGATGAAGCTCTTGGGACAGAACCTTTCGAAGATCTCTCGGACGACGACACAAGAGTGCCTGACGGGGCCGAGACCCCCAAGAAGCGTAGATCAATGAGCATTACCATACCCGGAGCATTCGGTGGAAGTGACTGCGATGCCGATGATGACAATAACGTGGAATCAACTCCCGAAACGCCAAGATCAGGTGTTCCAGTCACTGTTTTAGAAAGAACCGACAACACTTCCAGTGACGGGAAAGTAACAGTGACAGAAACGCTGAAGGAGAGATTAGCCGATCTACAACCCGATGTAGACCGGTCTCCTAGTCCGATACCTACGATGATCGTACAAAGAATCGAGGAGGATAAGCCATATCATGGGGAGGTCCCTGGTACAGAAGCATACGAGAAACGGGCAGCGGATGCTCAACCGGATATTATTGTACGATGGAATGAAGAGGAAGATCGGATCACAAGAAGAGTACAGACTCAACGTGAGAAGATCGAGAAGATGGTCCAGGATGGCGGGACGCCAGTTGTGGCCCCTTTACATGGAAGGGCAAGAAGTGTGAGCCCAAGTGTGAATAAAGTTGATGAGGCACTATCGAACCCAGTGTACACACGAGCACGAAGTGCAAGCCCGAGTTTCGGGAATATGGATTCCATGGGGAAAAGAGAAGGAGCTATGGCTGGCGATGAAAGCACTGTTGTTGTGAGTGGTGGCTTTTTGGAGATGCCAGTATCCAAAGCCTCACTTACAGTCGACCTCGATGCAGCTGAGAATGACATTCCTAATACATCTGCACTCTCCCCTACATTTTCTACGGGCTTTGAGGAACATACTGCCCTGCGGCGGCGAAAATCGTCCGCGGCGTCACGTAAGAGTCGAAAGTCTGTCCCTCCATCACCAGCGACTCCTTCTGCAGACTTTGGGGATTTCCGGGAGAATGAAGAAGCAGATGACGATTTTGGGGATGACGATTTCGACGATTTCGGCGAAGTGGTAGAGGGGGAGGAGTTTGACGATTTTGAGGGATTTGGCGAAACTACAGCCGATTTTAAACCGGTACCTATAGAAACTCCGCAGCCCACCCCACAACCCCCTGCACCAGTAAAGCCGGTGATTTCTGTTCCAGTACTCGACCACAAAGAGCTCGGCGGAGCGGAAGCAATTATCAAAGCTCTTTCCGAGTCATTGGAGATCATGTTCCCGACAGGCAAGAAAACCAAGCTCGCGGCAGTAGAGGATAGCTGTTTCCTCACGGAAAGAAGGTAAAGCTTATTATCTTACATGACCTTATATGAGCACACATACTAATTTGTGTCACAGTTTGTCACTTTGGAATCAACTTGTCGCTCCACCACCTTTACAACCCCCTAACTGGAAAATCTCTCGTATCCGTCGTCTCTTCCTCGTTTCACTCGGTGTGCCTGTCGACCTTGATGAAATTCTCCCTGCAGAAACTAAACAGAAAAAGCTTGTCCTCCCATCCATCAATACTCTCCGTCGCTCCTCGGGTGACGACGGTCACAGGTCTCGTTCGAGCTCACAGTCAAGATCATCACGCCCTTCTTCACGTGCAAGGAAGGCTGCGGCGGATGATAAAAACAAGAACGGAGGGATTGGACCTGAATCTCTTGACGTTCCGAGTGCCAGGATATTATGTAGTACGAGCGACGTAGCATTGAGTGGATTGACAGTGGAAGAGCTTCAGGAGCATGTGAAGGAATTGGAGAAAGTCACGCAGATTGCAGGCGAGGTGCTTACATATTGGCTCAGGAAGCGCGAGAGTGCAATTGGCGACAAGGAAACTTTTGAAACGGTCATCGAGAGTCTTGTGGGATATGCGAGGAAGAAGAGGCAGAATGGTTAAGTGCCTTTTCTAAAAGCTATCATTATTATGCATCTAATCATCTACGTAATTTTGGGGGGGGGGGGGGGGGGGTGTTGCTTGCTTTATTCTCTATATTTTTGCGGGTGTGCTCTAGGGGAAGGAAGGGAAGTATACTGGGCTAGGAGTTTTATTTTATTTTAAAAATGGGTTCATGGGCGCGGGATACTATATGATATGGAAGATTTCTAGATTCCTTCGTTTAGGTTGGGAAGGCTTTTTGTTTCGTCTATTTTTTGGGGTGGACCTTGGTAATGATGCTGCGTTGGTGTCCCTGGCATAGTATGAGGAGGGACTTGATTATGAGGTCATAGCCCTAATATATTTATATGTAGCTTAAGAAGCATGTATTCTAATAACTATCGGTTATGGAGAAGATCCCCCACTTCGTCCTGCAGTAGCTTGTGACCTTTACCCGAGGTACTTAACCAAGTTTATACCAAAAACCTCAACCCAAGTTTCCCGGGATAAATCATGTCAACACCAACCAGAGTTATCCCGCCTGTTCCAGAGATCTCAGAGGACCCGTTGGCATCACAGGCCATTTACAGATTGCTTCCGGATGCCTATAAGATAGAGACAAGCTCTGGAGCAACTGTAGTTGCGAGGACCAGGAGTTTGGACAATGCAGAACTACCGGTATTGGTGATGATTCACGGCTATCCGCAGTCGTATGTTAATAGAAAGTCCTGCGAAAGTATAAAACTTATGGAAGGATTATGCTGATACGACGATGGCAGAATGAACATGTAAAGATCTTATCTAAGTGGTATGGACGGGAACGCAAAGTCTCACTGGTGCAGGTTTCGTTACATAGTAGAGCGTCTACCAGAACAGATTCCATTGTTCATACCAGATGTATTATAAGTACATGTATTCTTCCTCGTATTTTAATCTACTGATAATTTTATGAAGATTCCTGGATATGGAGAATCCACTCATTCTGCTACACCCTCAAACACAGCGGCTTACTCAAAGCGTGCAATCGGAAATATTATTCTCGAAGCTCTCAAGAAACTCCTCAACACCCCGGAGAGGAAGATTATACTACTTGGACATGACAGGGGTGCAAGGATCATTCATCGTCTAGCTGTTGACGCAGCAGAGGGATTCCTCCAAGAGAAATACGGATTTGATCTACTAGGAGTCGCTTTATTGGACATCGTTCCGACGATTGTTCAATTTGCATCATTTACGGATCCTGCAGTTGCGGCGGCAACTTTTCACTGGTATTTATTGAGTATCTGCTGCTGGTACTTATTATTTAAAATTAGAAAGCCTCTAACCCCTTGGAAACACAGGTCCTTCCTAGCAGCCCCTTCACCGTTGCCAGAGAATATGATCGAGGCGCTCGGAGGTGATGTATTCGTTGATAATATGATAAGAAAATGGACAGGAGCCTCGGGAGAACCGCAGGTGTCACTTGGTATTCCTATATATGCTGCATATTTCAAACGGCCCTCCGTAATTGCGGCGTCTTGCGCCGACTACCGTGCCGGTGCGCTTGTGGATGCACCAGAGCAGGTTGCGGATCAGAAGGAGGGCCGGAAGATTAATTGTCCGACATATGTTTTATATAGCGAGGGTTACTTGGGGAGTCGGTATGAAGTAGAGAAAGTATGGAATGATTGGGTTAATGGAAGTAAGGGGTTATTGAGTACGAAAGGGGTGGGGAATGGGGTGGGTCATTTTTTGTGCGAGGAGGCACCAGAAGAGGTGACAAATGGCTTATTGGGATGGATCAGGAAATATCTAGGGGTAAAGGTTTAAGCTGAGAGCCTCGGCGAGGCGTGGTTCATGAAATGTCACTCAGGTTCTATGTACAGAATAAGCGACGATTCAAAGGGCGTTTATTTCTTTTTACTCATAATGTACCTGTATGCTCTATATTAATACGTGATCGGTCAATAAGGGAGGGGTGGAATTACAAGAATATGTTTTCTCGAGTGTATGTTTCATGGTCTGTGTCGTGTTGGGCGTACTCAGGTTCGTCCTTGATTTCACGGACATTCAGTCTCTTCTTTATCGCTTTCATGAATGTCAAATCCGCCTATTAAACAGTTTCTTAGCATTATAAAAGATTAAAGATGTTATTGACAGGTTACTTGCCCGTCTCCTCTTCTTGAAGCAAAAGAATACAATTGTATCATCTCCCACTAAATTTACTCTAATCATCAATAAGCATTTGTATTTGACCTATCTATGGTATAAGATATCCAACTTACAGAGTTTTTTCTAGCAGAGGAAACGCAGGTTCGTAATAAACCTAAAAAAAGGTTAACCACATCTAGAAGCTAAGATGCACAGTTTCATATGATCATACACAGTCTGCTGCTAGCACAATATCCACAGGCTTGTTTGCTATTGTCTCGGGTATGGGTTCGCTCCTGATATAATAGAATTTTAAAATCTGCAACTTTGCATTAGAGGATCCAACTGGCTTACCAGTCTAGTAATTCTACTTTGACTCGGTTCTCGAATCCGTTAAGTGCAACATTCTTGTAGATTAAATCAATCATAGCATCCATATCCGTGATGAATAATTCGCTATCGTGAAGATCGCATGCAGCTGCAACACCAAGGCTAATGAATTGGTCAGGCTTCGCCGGACTTTCTGGTAACAAATTCAGCGGAGACTGGTGCATACCCTGTCAATCCACCCCCAGCACCCAGTTCTACAATCCTCTTGCCCCTCAGACCACCATTATCTTTATATCTTCTCAGAATATATTTCGTTAAGGTTTCTCCCGCTGGCCATATTTGTCCGCCGCATCCCTTCGCAAGATCCTCGTGCAGTTTGATAGGTGAGTCGAGGAGGCCACCAAATGTGGTTTCTGTGATACGAGCTTGTAGCATTGGAGCTGGAGCGACAAGATCTGCCCCAAAGGGCTCAACCTCACTATCGCTATTGTCGCCGAAGAGATCCATGATAAAGCGGTTGGGCAGAGTGATGGCTGGTGAAGGAGGCGGGGTCAAGAGGACCCCGCTAGAGCCTCACCAGAGCCGCAAAGCTTGGCGAGTCTAACATACGGAGGAGCGTAGTACCTACATGTACTTAATTTTTATTATTGACGACTCTCACCCCTCAAGCAAATAATGGAATCTCACACGAAAGAAATGTCTTTTTGTGAATGGTAAGCGCTAGAGAATAGAGGTACAGTATACGTGCTTGATCCTGAAGCAAACTCCAGGGCACTGAGCTGCACTTCGCTTAGGTTAAAGCACCTGCATACATGTGACCTAACAGCCAAAGTACAGTACTTCGAGTCTCAGGTTTTTGAATTGACAATTTGCGCAAGTGTTGGGGAGAAGTGAACTCGACCAATGTCATTAACGATGAGTAAGCATTGCTTGTCTTGGAACCCTAACCCTCTCACTTTTGACTAACAAGGTCAAGCTTAGGAGGATTAAACGTAGTTCGAACCACAAATTAACAATGGCTGATATTATGGATCTTTCGAAGCTCGCATTTATTAAGCTACCCTCGAAAAAATTAGGCTCGGGCTCGGACATTCTTCTCAACAGCATCAAACAAGTCGAAAAACGGTCGTTCCCATCAAACGAAGCGTTTGACTTCAACACAGAACTCCCGAAAAGGACTACAAATCTATACTGCGCGTTTGCTAAAACCGGGAACGAGCCAGAATTGTGCGGCTATATTGTGTACGTGCGTTCTAAACTAGTCACAAGGATTCATAAGGTCTGCGTTGTGGAAAAGAAAAGAGGTCAGGGTATCGGGAGATGGATGATGGATCTTGTCCTGGTGGACTTGAAGAAGGGTGGGGCCGGAATTGTTGACCTCTGGGTGGATAAAAATAGAGAAATCGCACGAAAGTTATATGAAGCGTGTGGATTTGAGAAGAGAGAGACCGTTGAAAATTATTATTCCGGTGGACGAGATGCAGTTAGGATGGAGATAAACCTGTGTGATTGTTGATGATATGTCATGAAATTAAAGTAAGGTCATTTCGAATTCCTGTTTTAGAAACAACCCTCCCTTCAACGTCTGTTAATTAACTGTGTACTAGCACTGCAAAATCATATCTCATGGGTATAACGTCTCACCTGTGCTTTTACGCTTTCTTTAGATTACTTGATGAAAAATAGTTAGATACTTTCCTTATCTAGAATTTATTATTTATTCCTTTACTAACTATCCTTTATCCAGCATGGTTAAAAGTTGCCATTCACGATATACATCAGCTTAATATTCTCTACTTTTCCAGAAGTCATGATTTTTATTCTGAAGGGTAAACCAATTACAAATCATCCCACTATTAAAAATACACGTGATCAACCCCCTTTCTGGTATGTATCGTCAATCATATATTTGCAGCTATTAAGTTAAGTCCCCATCCGTCAACTACCCCTTGCATCCGCTTATACACCCTCATACCATTCCAACGTCAACATGCCAAATATGTTAATTCTTGAGAATCCATGATTTAGCACTGCAAAAAACTTCTATGGTCCCCTTTCTGAATATTAGGTGTAACTTGAAAAGTTTGCGTTCCAGCAATGTGGATCCACCTACGTAAGGGAGATACTGAGTGTCCCTTCGAAAAACTGTAGTCATTCACAGTCTTGGTATCAAGTATCATTGCTTGAAGATTTCTTCGTCCAAGAGTTTCTGAAATTCTTTCCTGGAACCTATAGTACACTGTCGTTCTTTCTTTTTTGGCTTTTATCGCCTATTCTCACTCATTCATACCATACATTCTTTCCTAGTCGTTCATACCGCCCGCTGGTGCACAATCCAGCGAATTCTTTCCCATATCGAAATAAGGATCTTTTGAGTTAATCTACGAGCTCGTGAGGTATTTTATTTATTCTTGACTGGTAGTACATGAATCCAACATATGCTAACGAGAAGTTAGGATTCTCGTCAATCTCTATAATGGTGGCTTTTGTTATTATCATTCTTTCATACGCCTCTCTTATTGCAGGAGCACCATCAGTTTCCTTCCCAATAAATTCACAAGTACCACCAGTAGCTCGAGTATCGGAAGCGTTTGAGTTCGTGTTCTCACCATGGACCTTTACCTCAAGTGTAAAGCCTATATCATACAATATCACCAACGGGCCTTCATGGCTGATGCTCGACAGCAATTCACGAAGTCTATATGGCACGCCGAAACAAGATAATATTGGATCTTTTGAAGTGGTTATAACTGCGACAGACCAGACAGGGTCAACATCACACCCAGCAATACTCGTTGTGTCATCGGAACCGGGTCCAATGATAGAAAAAGACATCGATTCTCAACTAAAGAATGCCGGCATGAGAGATGGAAAAGGCGGAATCGTTTTTTTCCCTGGCCAACCGTATGAGTTCTCGTTCTTAAAGGATACTTTTGGCCCTCCTGGATCTGTAAAACAATACGAGGCGGTTTCGACAGGAAATACACCTTTACCGTCGTGGATTAATTTCGATCAAGGACGCCTAAAGTTTTCTGGGGTGACACCTGATTTAACGTCTTTGATTGCCCCGCCGCAGTCTTTCGATGTTACTCTAATAGCAACCGACTATCCAGGATTTGCCGGGCCATCCGTATCATTTCAGATGGTTGTTGGGCCCCATCGCATCTATTTCAAAGACACACTGTTTACTGCCAATGCAACTTCCGGAGACCTGTTCAATTATAAGGTCCCACGAAATGCTATCTTACTAGACAGCGAGCCAATTGGGCTCGAGAACTTGAGTTCGTTATCTGTGACCGGGTCTGATTGGCTTTCGTTCGATGCGGATACCTTCTTGCTTAGTGGAACACCACCAAAGGGCACAGAATCCACAACAGTTAATCTCGTGGCTCACGACGTTTTCGGAGGCGAGGCACAAGCAAAGCTCCAGATCAGTGTTACCTCAACGAACACAACTGATGTTATATTTAAGGGAGGAATTCCTGATTTCAACACCACTGGCGGAGAGAATTTTGTGTACTCGATTGACCGAAAATCTCTCTCTACCAAAAATGTTAAGCTCAGTGTGAAGTATAATCCGGACGTGGACTGGATTTCTTTTGATGCTGAAAACTTGCGTTTTGAGGGTACAGCACCGAAAGAATCGATCAGAGTTCAGGTCATCATGTCTGCTCAAGCGATTGGAAAACCTTCAGAGTCTCGCAGTTTTTCGTTAAATGTTGACGGAGATGCCAACGTGGAATCAGTTTCAGCTACTCCAACTAGTATGTCTACTGGGACAACTACAAGTCAAACAGAAGCCAAAGCGACTTCAAGCTCAGTGACCCGTACAGGAACACCTAAGGCTAAACCCCCCAAGGGAAAGGCGGATACCAACTCTGAGGCATCCACAAAACGTAGCCGCAAAAGAACACTAATAATTGTCCTTGCAACCGTGCTACCTCTTATTGTAGTTTGTAGTTTCCTCTTTATATGGTACTTTGCCACCCGTCGGTCTACAGACTCGAATTCATATTACAGCCGCTCTACAACCCCCATAGGTTCAGAAATCTCTCGGCCCTTTGTACAGCTTCCTCAACCATGGGCAGTCACTTCGAGCAACCAAAAAGAATTGGAGACGCCGAGGCGTTTATCGGCCTTTGGATACTTCACGACTGATGGAAGTGGGAGAATATCGAACGGGTTCATGAGTTCAATGATGAGTAATGATGGGACGATCCTGCGCCTGCCTTCGCCACCTATACATACAGCTTTAATCCCTTCCGCACCAGAGACACCCGGTGATAGTGGTACAGTTGGTGCCATCAACTTTTCTCAACATCCCGTGAATCGCATCTCGTTCCCCACAGGGCCACTGTATTCCCTATATCCCGCAGTCGGCCGCTCAAATTCTCGAGGAAAGGGCACACATCCCGCGATTGCACGATCTAATTCTCGAAGAGAAAACATTGCTCCAGGCAATCACCGAACGGGCTCCGGAGGATCGAGCTCACGCCCTTGGGGAGCCAATAGCCATGCACTCAGACGGCGTTCAAGCACATCCGTCAAAGGGAATAACGTGGGTCACGGTAAATCCTCATTTGGAGGACCGCCAGGATATGGTGTCCCGAAACGATCTTGGAAAAGGACAGTAGTTTCACCTAGCCGCTGGCCTGGCGGTAAAAGATTCAGGGAGAGTGAAGAGACTTTTGAGACTGTTTCGACCGAAATTTTCAATCAGGTGCCACAGGTTAGTCAGAAAAATGAGGTTGATCAACCCAGTGTTAGGCTGGTTGATGGATCTCCTGAGGGAGCTGAAAAGGCGAGTCAAGTACGAGCGAGAGGTTCTTCGCCTTTCTTCGCGGGGTCTTCAACAGCATGGAGAAGGGGTTCAAAGGTGCACTCGTCAACTGGAGCCGAGTCGAACGATGGTGACCAAGATGTCATAGACGATGTCATCAAAACAATGATTCGGGAGAATAGCTATACGAAGACTATCGGGACATATTCATCGCTCAATCTCCCGGAGACACCACTGCGAAGATATAACAGTGCTCTCCCATCTCATTTTGCGGCCTCATCGTCGTTTATGAATCATCCTAGTAGGGGCTTGACTGCTGAAGAAGATGGCGCCTTCTCAAATGTGGTTGATGAAAGTGGACAAAGGGTCTGGTATCCGAAACACTCTACTAGAGAAAGCGGTGTTACATCATACAGTCGTGGAGGGTCATCATATTATCCTTATGAGCCATTTGAGTACGGCGTTGCGGTGACCTCCACACGAGCACAGGGGCCAGCCATGGGAAGACCTAGTACGGAAGAAGAACGGCCAACTCGTATAGTGGGGGAGATGCCTATACCTCCTCTGGTCACGCAGCGAGCAAAATTAGTGGACTTTACGAAGAAAAGACCAGTCGGTATCAGTGAAGAGGGGAGTGAGGAGGAAATAAAAGGAAGCTTCCCGGTGGATATGACTTATCTGTAATATGATCTGGGGTTTACTAATCGGAGTTTTACGTTCTTTCAAAATCTCATCCATTCGTTTGAAGTTAAATTACATATATAATGTAAATATTTAGTATTAGGCTATTTTAGAGTGATTTTCTGTGATGATACATGTAGTATTATATTTATCTCTAGATATTCCAGAGAATCAAATAGTCCCTGAATTTCCGAAAACAAGAGGGGGTTTGTATAAAGAAAAAGTGAGAATCGGTGGATGGAATGACGAGGCAGTCGCCGTTGGGCCGATTTTTGAACTTCTGTATGCATGATGGCCGGTTCGACGTTGGGGATGTAGACGCCACAAGATCTTGGCGGAACCTTCCTATAGGGTTATGGCGATCCCTTTGGCCCTCATATTTATAACCCAATTGGATTCAAACACACTTCTTTGGGCTATTTTATTTATTTCACTGGAAGGCTCTTGGTGACAGACCTAACCCAATTGGGCTAGACTTATGAGTTGAAGATACATGTACTAGTGGAGTACTGACCAAGGGGAAGTAATCACTTTTCGATCCTATGAATTGAAATCTAGGGAATTAACTACATATACTTCAAATTCCTCAAGTTTATCGAGACGTTTACATACGTATGTACAGCGAATCCCTTATTGTTTCTAATCTTAAATTGTGGTATTTAGGGTGTTGCTTATCGTAAACTCAATAGAGTCTTTCAGCTACAAGAGTTGGACAGAAAGTCGAGCACTTCGACAAAAAGTCCTGCACATCTTATTGATTGAACGACTGCAAGTGTCTTCCTAAAACAGCTAGACTTTCTGTCCAACCTTCTTGACTTTCTGTTCAACTCGCGCAGCTAAAAGACTCTAATATCATAAAATTATCTTTGAGGATATGCACATATAGCAGTTAGGGCGTTTGTCGGATCTAATCATAAGGTGTCGCTCGCTTCGGATCATTGGCGCGCGGATGTCAAATATTAAACCTTGGAAGTGTAAGTATAGTCAAAGTTGGTAAAGATAGCTGACGCAAAGAAATGCCTAGGCCGGCCCAGCACTTCGTCGATTCAACATGCACAAGTGCTGTTAGGTTCTGCTATACCTTGTAATACCACTACCATTTCCCGTGCGAGTGTACCAGCACGGCATGGTACGTAGAGACATACCTACATAGAGTACTTTAGGTACCTCGATATTCTAGGCAGCCATGCGCGGTTTGTGAATCAGGTTGGTTTGAGCTAGAATGGAGCTTTCCCCGCTGTTCGCTGCTTGATAATGTTAGGGCGAGTTGAAGATAATTGAGGATTTATCTTTGTAGAGGGAGCTTGGAATCAATATCATACCTCCTAGTGTTCTGTAGTCCTATTCTGACTCGTTTTCTACTTGTACTTGAATCTCGGGTGCCATATTCTGGACATGAATAGGACGAGTTTTTCTGGCGTCATCGGGAGTTTCATTTGCCCCTCTTTCCGGGTGAACGCTTTTCAATTCTCGTCTCCCCGCGTCACTGATAAGATTATGGTAATAGCAAATGCTCCGCAACGGACCTTTGGTATGGGACTGTAAAATTACAGAAGTACATACATGACATTACAGGAAATTAGAATAACCAAAGGATTAGCTTCGCCTTCTTCAATCATTATCTATTGCCTTATCAGCTTTGTCCAGCAGTGCCTTCTTCCTGTATTGCCCCTCTCAGAAGCACGCGACCGAAAAGAAGTTAAACCCTGAAAATCAGGATCTTCGGGCTTCTTTTCTTCTCTATTTTCATACGGTGCCTAGTTTTGTGACATGCGCACATTGAGGTCTTGTTTTTAATTAGCTCGTTACCCGAAGGTTCTTGTTTTCTCTCATTTTTTCGTTGCCTTTCAGACTGGGCGAGGGTCTTTCTGTAGCCGCAGCACAGACTTTGACAAGGCACTCTACCCCTTCTTTCCCCTCCCCCACCATCAACAACCACACAGCGCAACTCGAGGAAAAAGAATAAAGAGCGATTCCATCATCTCTTTAGCCACTACTTCTTTGTTTCACCCACAGGAGGTCTATCATCCATCATATACAGGTTCCCCACACATTGAAAATTACTACCAGCCTTTTCGAGGACCTGGATTGAATCTTTTACTTATCTAAAATTTAAACGAACGACATCATGGGTCAGACTCTTTCGGAGCCAGTAGTAGAGAAGGTACGTCATTTTTAGAGAACGGAGCGAAGGGAGAAAGGATGAATGAGGATAAGACGAACGGAACTCTTTCACTATCTCTTTGGCTCTCTAGCAGTTTTTAGGAAGATATGATCAAGTACCTGACACAAATTAGCTATCCGACAGCGGTGAAGATGATCGTTTGGCCTTCGGACTATCCAGCATGCAGGGCTGGCGTATCTCTATGGAGGATGCTCACGCTGCGGTTCTCGATCTCCATAAACCTGACGTTGCGGGCACTGCCGGAAAAGAGGGAAGGTTGAGTTTCTTCGGTGTCTACGATGGGCATGGAGGCGAGAAAGTTGCTGCATTCAGCGGGGATAACGTTCATAAGATCGTGGTGAAGCAGGCTTCTTTCGAGGCTGGTGATTACGGAAAGGCCCTGCAGGATGGGTTTCTTGCTACAGATAGAGCTATCTTGCAGGGTAATAAATTACCTTTCCTAGTGTTTGTGAAGAGTTGGCTCGGATTCATTCTAGGGCAGGATGCTGATGAGTCAACCGGTTCCCTAGATCCCCGCTATGGCGACGAGGTATCTGGATGTACTGCCACTGCCGCCCTTATTTCAGACACAAAAATCTATGTTGTAAGTTATTTCCCATCATAAACGAGGGAGATATACTAAGAGACTCAATAGGCAAACGCCGGCGATTCACGTACAGTTTTGGGTGTAAAGGGAAGAGCTAAGCCCTTGTCTTTCGACCATAAGCCACAGAATGAAGGTTGGCTTTCTTCCTTCCCGTGCGTAACTAGCACGTGATCAGAACATTAATGTTGTCAAAATAGCCGAGAAGGCCAGGATACAGGCTGCCGGTGGTTTCGTCGATTTTGGAAGAGTTAACGGCAACCTTGCGTTGTCAAGGGCTATCGGTGATTTTGAGTTCAAGAAGAGCGCCGACCTCCCACCAGAACAGCAGATTGTTACCGCCTTCCCAGACATCAACATACACGAAATCTCAGATGATGATGAGTTCCTAGTTCTTGCCTGTGACGGTAAATAATTCCTGTAGCTTTCAATTTGCCTCTATTACTGATGTCGTAACTAGGAATCTGGGACTGCCAGTCATCTCAGGCCGTTATCGAATTCGTTCGACGTGGCATAGCCGCCAAGCAAGAGCTTCATCGTATTTGCGAAAATATGATGGATAACTGCCTTGCCTCTAGCAGTGATACTGGTGGTGTAGGATGCGACAACATGACCATCGTTATCGTTGCCTTACTCCGTGGCAAGACCAAGGAAGAGTGGTATGATATGATCGTGAAGCGTGTTGCTGACGGCGATGGCCCCTGCGCTCCACCCGAGTACGGCAAGTCTCTTTTCATTTTAATTCAACTGTCTCCCTTCCATTCTGCCAACCCCCCCCCCCCCCCCCCCCCCACAAATACGTAGCTCCTTTGAATTATTTTCAGATTTGTTCACCATTATCAAAACTAACATACATATCAGCCGAGTTCCGCGGGCCGGGAGTACACAACGACTTTGATGATAGTCCAGACGAGTTTGATGCGCAGAATCAGTCGGGTGGGGGCCGTATCATCATGCTCGGTGACGGAACAGAAGTTTTGACTGATTCTGATGCAGACATGTTTGACGACGCAGAGGATAAAGAAGAGGAGGAGAAAGATGACGAGGCACTACGAAAGGTAGCTGCAAGAGAAAATAAAGGGGAGGATGAAGAGATGAAAGACATCACGAAGTCGGACAAGGACAAGGAGAACGCAAAGGTCGACGCTTCTCCTGCGAAAACCGCCACCTCTACAGACGGAGGGCCCAAAAAGCAAGCTTCAAATTAGCCCAAAGATCAAAAAAGTAATTCGGAGAAAGGAAAGATTTGTTTCCTGAAATTTACAACTCCAACCCCTAAGCTTTTTATTTTTTTGTCTTTGTGATTTTTTTCAGAGAAATGATATGGTTGACACCAATTTTTCGTCACATTTGTGTAACCCGAGGAACATCATTAGACCGAAGCGATGTATGTTCTATCCGGGGAACTTACGAGGGCAGAGCATACCGGACTTCTTCATAAAGGAAACATGGGGTTATGAAGAATCTAGACCTTCGAGTGTTGTGTTTTGCCAGCCATTGTTTGTGTCATTTTCATGTTTCATTGTTTTCATGCTCATTTGCAATTTTCATCTGTTTCTATTACTTGTGTTTTTCTATTCGTGTGGGATTACTACTACTGCTGAGTCATGGGCCGATGGTTGCTAGGTCTGTCGAGTTTCTGCTACTATTACTACATTACTATGGGCAAGGGGAATTACCGATCGGGAGCAATGAATTAACGAAATCTTTAGGAGAGGGGTATTCAAGTGGCTTTATGCCCCTTTCTTGCAATTACTATTTGTTTTTTCTGCTTGTTGCTTGCTCATGTGAGGTTGAAGTTATTTTAAGGCTATAATTTCTTTTGTTTTCTCTTTCTGCATTGCTTGCGGATGGATTAGACGGACATGGGTTTCTTCTGTTTATCACCTCTAAAACAGTTTCTTTCACGGGTTTGACTGCATTCATATTCCATTCTTTATCTCTTGCGGTTTTGTCCAGCTGTAGATATAGATTCGGCTAAAGGCGATGGGTTTCCATAGGGCCCAAGCGCGCGGCTAATCTCGCTACTGCGAGTGATGGCCTGTGAAGCAGTGCAGGGTTAGTTACGTCTGCTAAGGGTGCTCTTTTCCCACTTGTCCCCATTCGTTACCAAAGCTTAGCTTCTTTATCTCACTAAGACTGTATTTCCGATCGTTAGACGGGAAATCGACGACAGAAGGCAATAGAGGAATTAATCTATCTACTGTAAATCCCACCCAGGTCTATATATATTCGCACCATGACGCCTTTATTTTCTACTCGGCTGTCTTGACACCCAGCCCAAAGACATCTACAGTATTCTTCCATGCAGCTTCGCAAACCTCCTCTACACTTATGCCCTTCACATTCGCGATGACATACGCCACCTGGGATATACACACGGGCTCATTCCTCCCCTTTATTAGCTGATTGGCACCAGCAACGAAGCGCTCCTTCTTGACTGCTTTCGGCAACGCCGGTGCATCTTTGAGGTATTTCGAAGATGCGTGAGTAGGGCGAATCTCACACCATGGGCCCTATCACACCAGGTCAGCTACGCCGCAAACTCGCCCAGGTAGCAAGACATTTCAGATGGGAATGCACCTACATCAGTCTCAATCATAAGCCTGTCCAATGGTATCTCCTTCATAACCGCCAGGTTCTCTTCCGTCTTCAAACTGCACCCATTGACACCCACATACAGCCCAGCGCCCACGATCCTCTTCATCTCGTCCATAGACCCCGTAAAACTATGCACCAGGCCTCCCTTCAGCTTCGGCAGTCTTGGGAACAAGATGGCTTCGAAATCCCCGGCGGCAGCGCGTGAGTGCAGGAATAGCGGCAGCCCAAGCTCCTCCGCGAGGTCCAGCTGCATCGTGAACGCGATCTTCTGCTCCTCGACGGAGGCGTGGTAGAGGCGGTCGTAGTCGAGGCCGATCTCGCCGAATGCGGCGACGAGGGGCGAGGAAAGGGCGAGGGTGCGCAGAGAGTCGATGTAGGCGGCGTGGCCAGCGTGGTGGTTTGTGAGGTCTTTGGCACTGCAGGGGTGCACGCCGACGGTGGTGTACATGTATCCGGCTTTGGGGTGGTGTCAGGACTATCTGTCCATTGTTATTTTTGGGAAGAGCTTACGGTAGCTTTGGGCGATCTTGAGCGCCGCTTTGGACTCTTTGAGACAGGAGCCGGTGAGCATGAGCCTTTCCACACCGCCTAGTCTGCCGCGCTGGACTATGTCGTCGAGGTCGGATTGGTGGACCTGGGTATTGAGTGGTTTGTCAGCTATAGGCTGCGGAGCGGTTTCTGTAATAAGGTGTTGAGCATTATACCTGCTTCCCGTGGTATTCGCCATGGAATTGGCGGTCCGTTAGGTTGATGCCTATGTCTATATACCGGAGGACATATGGGGATGATTGAGGAAGCGCCAAGTCAGACTGCGAAGAAGCTGCTGTTACATCTGCAGATGAGGTAGCTGTGGAGTTCATAGCTGTTGAGGGAGCGCTGCTGGCTGTAGACATTTTTCTGGCTGATTTCGGGGTGATGGCGAACTGGGTATTTTGGCTATGGGTGTTCAGAAACCTCTTCTGTTTTGGGAAACTGAAGGCAGAAAGGCGAGCACAGGTGTGGTTATAGGAAGTTATATTACGGAGGACAGCTGGTGGGAGGCGTATTCGCATGTTTAAGTACATGTACCTACATTCACCCAGTAGCAGCCCTGACATCAACGCCGCATGAATGACTCTAAGGCCTTGGTAGGGTGTCATTTACTGGGGAAATTGAGATTTGTATTGAGTCACTCTCTCCTGCACTTTCAATGGTATTCAAAAGAAATTCTCAATGATTCCGCACCAAGAACAACATTTTGATCATTGAGGATTTTCGAAAGGTGAGCGGGTGTGGGGGTCATGTTGTTGCGGCTCAAATGGCGGTAGGGTAATGTGGAACATAACATTCTGTGTGCTTAATCACAGGATGTCACTCGAAGTACTTCTGAGAAAAGTTGTTTGCTGATTTTCTACGAAAATATGTCTATCAGAAGCTTTGTAGCTACCTTACTCGTCCCCTCCTCTTAAACAGTCGTAGGTTGAGACGGATCGAAGGCAGAATTACCCAGCTCTAATCCCAAATGTTCTCTAACTAGCTAGGCCTAGCTACCGTGCGCTGTGCACAAGCATGCGTTGCTATTAAAACCCAACCTAAAGGCGCACTCCACTCATAAATAAACCCCCCCCAATACCGACAAACATATCAACCAACATCCAAGCCCCATTAGAACATCTCCTAGCCGACCAACGAGAGGTTGAAGCAGCACTATTTACGTCATGGTCCTCCTCTAGACAGATTAACCTCCATCCAAGCCTGTTCGTGATGAGTTTGTTTGTACATACCCTCCTCGTCACCACCGAATCTATAAACGTATTTGGTCTTTGTCTTCGTCTTTGTCTTTATATCTGTGTTTACCACTGCCGGTTTGGGCCCGCCAATAGCCACTTCTGTGATCAGCGGGGAGAAGGCTTTATCCGTGGCACCGCAAGTGCTCGTGGTAGCCGTGGACGGTAGGGCGAGTAAAGATATCAAGAGCAAAAGAAGGAGGGGAGAAATAATGATAATTTTTGATGAGAACTTCATGTTTGTCAGGACTGATGAGGACATGTAGGAGCTCATTGAAAATTTATATCACGATCGTTTGGTCATAAGGCCAGATTCGACTTTATTGTCTTTTGTATGGATGTTGGAACCAACAGCGAAGAAGCTATAGGCGCCTTAGTATTTACGTAAAGTGAGTAAAAGAAGGTGCGTGAAGGATTGATCTCGAATTTCTTAGTGTAAGATTCCCTTTGTTCCGAAACGTGTGTCGAGTCTAGATCTGCTACTAGCTACCAGCGCCAGGGAATTAGCGTTGCCAAGCGCCCTGGTGATCAAATATGTTTCCCTTTCAATATTCTGAGTTTTAAGTTTTGTTCCTGCCATGTATCCCCGAGGAGCACCTCTCACATCCCGCGCGTAAGATGAAGCTAGCGCCGCGGTAGAAAAAGAAAAGAAACCCTCCTCCTTCCAAAAAGCTTAGGTAAAACCTTAAATTCTCTCGATCCAGGCTAGCGTATTCATAGAATATCACTCGTGTCCCAAGGACAGACTGTCAGGATCATGTATCTTGCCACGAAGTGAGCTCGAGCCCATGTACATACATGTACATATAAAATGGACACCTACATGATAGCCTACTCGTGTTGACCCGTGGTGTAACTTTGCCGTTTGGATTCCCAGCTTAATGGTCGGACTAAGGGCATTTCGTCACAGTGCAGCCCACCTTGACGATGCCGTTATCAATGCTTGAAATTAAAATAATAAAGCTTGCTTTGGGTGTTTTTGAGGCTTTTACATCCTGCAGCTGGTCCAATAAGTCAAAAGCTCTCCACAGTCAATTCCGCTCGACTATCGCATCGACACGTGACCCACCTACCCATGTCTCTCAGAACACGTACGAAAGATTTGGGTCCTGAACACTCAAAGCCAAGAGAGTTGAAATTGTCTCGTGCCAGTTCTACATCTGCGCATGCTGTGCACCAAGCAGCCGGGACGGAGTCAAGCCCAAAGCGGAAGTATATCAAATCCCTCACGACATTGGCCCACACTATTCGTCAAATATAATTCCGAAATTCTTCATCCTACTCTTTTTTTGAGCAAGTCAGGGAGAAAAGGAAATCCTTAGTAAGTTCTAAACCAATTATTTCCTTCGGCGTAAATACATGTAGCTCTAATCTCATACGAAACATGGAATCAAGAAAGAAACTTATAACTTTGGAGTAATACCAAACAAATGCTTTTCATTGCTTTAAAAAGCCTCCCCAACTCCAAGAACACTAAGTGGTCGCGACTAATTCATTGTATTCGCCTTTCGCCTACTAATTCTTGACTGGCCCTGGAGGAGTAAAAGAAAGAACACAAAAAAGGAAAGTAACTGAAAGAAACGCAAAATTCCCAGCCCAAACTAGAAATGAATCCTCACATTAAATTAAACCACTAATGACTTGGTTTTCCATACGCCGGTGGCCCACCCGCCTGGTACTGCATCGGCGGAGGAGAAGTGGCCTGATAAGTTCCACCGGAGGGCCCATGAGCTCCTCCCGCTGAAGGTGGAGGAGATTGGTAGCCACCAGGACCACCATGACCGCCAGGACCGCCGGGACCACCAGGACCACCAACTGGTGGCTGGGATTGGTAGCCACCGGGGCCGCCGGCTGTAGGATGGGGCTGATAGCCACCTGGGCCGCCGGGACCACCGCTGGTTGAGGGCGAAGGTTGGTACCCGCCTGGACCACTAGTGGGGGGCGCATGATAGCCTGGTGCACCCCCGGCTGGGGAGTAGGCGGATGGTGGGGGAGAGTTATAGCCCTGGTATTGGCCTTGAGGTGGAGCGCCATACTGTCCCTGCTGCGGAGGCGCACCATATTGACCCTGCTGAGGAGGGGCTCCATATTGACCTTGTTGAGGGGGAGCACCGTATTGGCCCTGAATCGGTGGAGCACCGTACTGGCCCTGGGGACCTTGAGGGCTTTGAGGACCATGTGGACCCTGTGGACCCTGAGGGCCCTGAGGACCTTGGTAACCGCCCTGGGGAGCCGGGCCGCCGTATTGGTGCTGTTGTCCAACGGGACCAGAAAACTGCTGCCCTTGAGCGCCGGGTGAGGGGTAGGACTGCTGAGGATGCCCATAGGGAGGGTTGGCGTTATAGGGAGGGTTTGGAGATGGAGAGCCGTGTGAGCCGTATTGCTGGGGTTGCTGGGGTTGCTGGTGGGTGCCATAACCATAGCTCTGTTGCTGACCCGGTTTCTATCACCATGATCGATCGTTAGTATTTCGACATATTCTATGGGTCCCAAAGGCGGGAAAATGCTGTACATACCGGTTGACCATGGCTTCCACCCCCTAGCACGCCACCAATAAGCCCACCAAGGCTACCAAGTCCTCCCGGCATTCCACCACTGGAACCATGCCCGCCACTGGAACCATGCCCGCCACTGGAACCATGCCCGCCACTGGAACCATGCCCACCACTGGAACCATGCCCACTGTGCGCGCCATGTCCACCTTGTCCACTCTGTCCATAGCCACCCTGCGAACCTTGGGTGTTATGCTTGTTTTTCCCCCCACCCAACAATCCACCAGCAATTCCAGCAGCTTGCCCAAACAAGCTGCTGCTGCTCCCGCTGCTGCCATGGCCACCATGGCCACTGCTGCTTTGCTTTCCGCCACCCAACAACCCAGATGCCAATCCTCCCAATCCACCACCACCACCTGATGAATGGCCGCTGCTGGAATGCTTACCACCTCCTAGCATCCCTTGAGCAAGGGTACCGACGAGGCCAGAGCTACTTGAGTGCCCGCTGTTCGAGTGTTTACCACCTCCTAGCATTCCCTGAGCGATACTACCGGCGATACCGCCGAATCCACCAGCGCGAGTAGCAGTCTGGCCGTCTGGCTGAGGACTATACTGTGGTTGGCTATAAGCTGACTGCTGTTGCTGCTGTTGCTGATCTACATAGCCTGAGTGCGAGGGCTGGCTCTGCTGGTTATAGTTGTCTGTGGGCGCTGGATACGGAGATGGAGTGGGAGGACCGGGGGTGTTGGAAGCTTCCTGAGTTGGAACCTCCCAGGTTGTTTTTCCGTTCGCTGTTTGAACGTAGTAATAACGCTGCGTTGTCGGATCCCATTGAGCGATCCTAGAGGGCAGAAAACATTAGATCCCGGAAAACTCAATTTAAGATAAGGGTAGGCGAGACACATACCAGCCGATAGGTAGGCTTGGGGGAGCAACACTTGGGCCGTTCGCGTTCGGGGACGCGATAGGGTTTGGTGGGGTTACCATGACTTGGATGGTCGTTACAGAGGAGGATGCGGGGTATTCACGCTATGAAAAGTGGGAAACAAACGAATAGAGAGTAAAATGCAGGAATACGTTGTAAGATGCGTAAGGAAGGAATGTTATGCAGAGTCAAGCTTCTTCTTGAGAGTGATTTGAAGTTGTGGGGGGGGTGAAGAAATAGAAGGGAAGAGGGAGAAACCAGAGAATAAGAGATGGGTGGAAGCGCCTCAGCGAGTAAGAAGAGGTGGGGTTGGATGGATAAGTGAATGAGCGGAGGGGTTCCACGGCGTGCATGTGCATCAGTGTGGAAGCAAAAACGACCAAAACTGATCAAATAACGGGTGGGCTGTGCTCATCTCGGCCTTCATCACCGTTCGCCAGGTACCTCACTGCAGCAGTAACTGCAGTACCCGCGCATGACCCAGTAACAGCCGCCACTCCTACGCACCATCTGCTATTATTATTTTCATTTTCCCTTTACCTTTGTGTCGGTTGGTGTGGCTGAGCCTGTTATTTCATTCTTCGCTCTGCTTCCTTTTCTACGCTCCTTTGCTGGCTGGATACCGCCGGCTGAAGCCTGGACAAAGCTGAAAGTGAGGGAATATCACGTCAACAACCAACCCACCCAAGCCACCACCACCCCTCCTTATCCTCCTCAGTCGAATCCTACGATAATGACGGAAGCATTTTTTATCTATGCCGTAGCATGTACACATGTAGAGTCCACGCGTCTGCTTTGCTCAAATCCTACACTTTTTAGTCAGCTTATGGAAAGTGAAGAATGGTACTTAGATGCGGTCTGTGTGGCCCACAGCCCACCTTCTTGTACAAGGATATAGCTCGTGAAGCGGAATATACGATTCGCATTCCAAAGTTTACATGGATATTTCTAAACAATACGGACCGGACCGATTTGAGGCTGCGGAATGATACTTACGGTTTCGGGGTTACATATCAGTGGCGGTACGGTACAGTTGGCTATGGCTTAGTTGATCTATGTCGGGATCCGGCGGTAAAGCACATGGAAGGTTACCCTGCCGGTCTGTCTGTGCGCGCCAACGAAAGCTAAATGGGGGTCCTTGAATGTTGAACTTTGAACCGTGAGTAAAAAAACTAGAGCTTACTTTGGAGGCTATATAGGGCTGTATGGATTCTTTAGACTCCAGGGACAAAATGCAGGGAGTGGGATAAACACTTGTTAATTTGTGTAGTCACAGATGATCACTCGGTTTATCTCTCTATTGTCTTTATTAATTATACTCTCTAATGAGTTTATTTTATTTTAATGGTATACAGCTTAGAGCTGACTTGAGTAGGCAATTGGATTATGGGTATGGCTTACGAGAACGCTTAGGTTGCTTCGTCTTCTGGATCATATTAGCCATCACCAATATCGAGTGAGAGTTCATGATACAACACGCGAACCATCCGTGAACCGAAGCCACAAAGACCCCAGCACAACGCAAATCGAACCTCCATATCCTCTGAAATCATCTGATTTATATTAATAGGTATTACACTACAGACAATACGAGGATTGAACAAAAAAGAAAGGAAACGCTCAAAATAATGCCCATGCCCCCCTAAAAAATGCATCCCCTACGACCAACCCTAAACTCACTCTCAACCAGGCGCATGATATCTTGCAAGCCTGGATGCATGTCTTTTGTTGCATTGGTCCAGAAACATCCTGAGCTTTGGCATGCGTATAAGATTCTGATATCCCGCTGGAGTCATAAGCTCCATGCATCTCTTAGTTATTTCCTCCTCCGGACATTGATTAAGGCCGACTTCTACTCGTAGAGGATCAACTCTATATTTTAGATTATTTGAATTAGTATATTATTACCAAAAAGGAAAGGGGCAGCTGAATGAAACTTACTCATAAGTCGGTCGGAGGTCAAGAGAGATGTGATACGGGAACCGTGGTCTTCTTGGTTTTGATTGCCCATGCTCAGAGGCCGCGTAGTCGATCACGGAGTTCTTGGGGCTCGTAGCCTGGTTGAGAACACCGGATCCCCTCACGACTATAGCTTCCTCCTCCTTGGGCTCCGTTGCATTCCGGAGAGGTGTCTCATCAACAATCTCATGCCCCGCCTCACCACTTTGATACAAGTCATAGCGGCCCTGATCCACGCTTCTGAAAACTGCTTTGTGCGCATCCATTGCAGCCCTACTTGTCTTAATTGGAGATGTGCTTTCCTTTTCATCTGAGCTCCCGTCGTCTGTACCAGGCATTTTTGGCTTGCCCATCTTTCGGCGGCTCTCTTCATGTTTTACTCGCTCCAGGTGTTCCTTTACCAGGCGTTTGATCTCCAGCCGCTCTTTTTCAGCTTGCTGGAATGCTTCGATTTCGGCTGCGCGTTCCTGCTGCGCTTTCTCGTGCGCTTCGAGACTAGCCAAGCGTTTTTTCTCGGCGTTGTCCATGCCAGGCTGAGTTTTAAAGCTTCCAGGTGCATCGGATTCCTGGGTTGTTTCAGACTTCTGCTCTTGAGATCTTGCCTCTACCAATGGTGTGTTCTCCGTGGTTTTCTGTATAGATATATCGTTACGATGGTTATTCTGAGACTCATATGACTCGATTGATTTATCAGTAGTGGTCTCAACTTCGGTCTCAACTTCGGGCTCAACGGGTGATTGAGTTGCAGGTGCTGCTTGAAAGTTAATCCTGGCCAACGGTTCATTAACCCTGGGGAATTTGGTCTCTTTGGTTTCTTGGTCTGAATGCTTCTCATCCTTTTCATGATTCTTTACGAGAGATTCTTCTTTCTGGGCCTCGTCAGACGGCCTAGCCTCACATGTGGCTTCAAGTTGTTCCTTGACTCCAGAATGTTCCTCCTCGATAGACTCATTGGAAGGCACTTCTGAGACTTCCCATGTTGACTGCTCCTGGGGTCTTTTAGTTTCCGAGCTGCCCTCCTCTTCCGCTACACCTTGTGCGATATCCTCTATGAGATCTGCCATTTCAACGTCAGGTCTTCCCACCTCTGCGCTTTCCTTAGCAATCACTGGTCGTTCAGCTTCCGCTACAACGTTTTCAGTTCCCAGAGCCAAAGCTGATACAGCCTGCTTGAGAGTATTGCGCTTCGCCTTGATATTCTGCAATTCACGCTCAATTTGAGACATTGTCACTTCCTTGGTCTCGATTTCCCGGAGAATCTCTTCCTTTAGTAACATCATCGTGGCGATACGGGCCTGTAGGGACTGTTCAAAGCTATCAATGCTAGATACCTCGGTCTTGAGATTGTTAACGGATTCCCTAATTGCGCTGATATCGTTATGTAGTGATTCAATTGTTGCGTCATCTTCTTCAGAGATATTGTCCGAGCCGTAGGGGTTTGTATTAGCATGCACTTCTAGGCTACCCTCCTCTCCTCTACTGACTGAATCATTATTGATGACAGTGCTATTAGATTCCAGAAACCTAGGGGGAGGTGTTCTAGTGGCCTCAAGCTGTGGTTTGGCGGACGATAACTTATGTGGAGCCGCACCAGCACTATTATCACTTGCAGTCCCACCCAACTTGAAGACAAACGGCGCTCCAGGACCAGTTAAAGGTACAGAAGAAGTTGTAGAAACCGGAAGCTTGAAGATAAATGGCGAACCGGGCTCAATGGTGGCTTGAGGCCTAGGAATTGGCCCAGCGCCTGAAGTAAAGATAGTTTCCGGGAAAATAGAAGTCTTAGCAGTTTCAGAAGCTTTTTGAACCAGGGGAAAGAGAACCGAGCCAGGTGCAACAGCAGGGTAAATTTGAGTAGAAGTAAGTTCAGGGCTCTTCTTCTTAGGAGCGCCGGGTATAGTGGAAACACCTGAAGCGATTGGTAAGTTGGTCTTTTCCTGGCTTGGTAATTGAAACCTATTTTCGGAGGAAGGGACGGTGTCTGCCTTTGCCGCTCCTGAGAATCGAAAAAAGCTTCCAGAGGAAGAAGCTTTGTCGGCCGTTTCCTGGTCTGCTGGTAGAAAAAAGTTCCCAGAGGGAGGAACTTGGTCGAGCTTTGCCGGTGTCGGGATTTTGAATAGACTAGAAGCGGGCTTTGGTGGGTTTGACAGATAGTCATAATCGACACTGTTCGTTACAAGTTTACCCGTATTCCATCTAGTTTCATGTATAACTTAGCAAATACGTTCCAAAAATCAAAAGAAGCTTGAATAAACTTACTGGCTAACCTCCGGATTCCTAACAACAGCCCTCGCAGAGAGATGAGGTGGTAAGGTAGATGTTTTTTTAGGAGGAAGGGCAAAGATCTGCATAGAACTTGGTCCCTTAGGTGCGTTGATTGGTGGGATATTGGGCGGCGCAGCCCTCCGCTGCTGAGCGACCTGTGCTCGTAGGGGAATGTAGGCGTTTCCAGCAAGATGGTGCTTGACGATACTATGTACTCCCCTGGAGCGAAGGGATCTTTTCCTTCCTGCCACTTGCTCAGGCGCCCGTAGTGGTGCTAGGGGATCACCTGGCGGCCCTTCGAGACTGTGCATGCTACTAGTGGTTATTTAGCATTCGTAGACCCACCAAAACAGCCCAGCCAGCCGTACAAACAATAAAAAACACATCAACAGAGAAAGATCAAAAACACAAACCTCATCTTAGCCCTCAACGCCGCCCTCCTCTGCAGCACCGCAGCCCCACTCACAGTCCTAACACTGTCTAGCGGGCCGCGGCTGAAAAACGGTATATCGGGCGGCAGCTTGCTAAGCTCAAAGAGCGACCTCGCATTCCGCAGCGTCCGCCCGCCGCTCGGCGGCGACTTGTTGCGCCCCCCTTTCGACCCCGGGTCTGCAGGGCGGTGCGAGCCGCTGCGGCGGTGGTCGTCGTTGTGGTTGTTGTTGTAGGGCTGGTAGTTGGGGCCGCTGCGGTGCATCTGGCCTTCTCCTAGGCCGTCGTCGCGCTCTTCGACGAGTTTGGGGTCGAAGAGGGCTGGCAGAAACATTAGTTTACTGATACTACTAGGGGAGGGGGGGAGGGGGGAGGGGGGAGGGGGGAGGGGGGTAACTTACAGGCCCAGGCATTGGGTATATCTGGATAGTCTTCGGCGAGCTTTGCGACGCGCGGGTTGTGTTTTGAGATGTCTGGTGGGGGAGGGGGGAGGATTGCTGTGCTGCCGGAGAGGGGGAGGGCGGCGCGGCGGTGGATGCCGAGGTCCGCCTGTGGGGGTGTTAGTGGGTGTGTAGATGGGAGGGAGGGGGAGGGGGGGGGAACTTGCCATCATTTCAGCGACGCCATAGGTATCGAAGCTGGCTGCGGGGGAGGGCGTGAAGCGGGAGTCTTGGGGGGTGAAGGACGACATCCCTAGATGGATGGATGGATGGAGGGGCTGGGTGGGGTGATGGTTTTTATGGTGGGGGGAGAGAGGGAATGAATTGATTAGCAGACGGGGAGAAGGATGAAGCTATGCTTATAGCAAGCTATTTGATAGTGGAGGAGGATGAGGAGGAGGAGAGGAGTTATCTACAATTGATGATGGTGATGGATGATAGAAGAGAAAATTGGGGGAATGAACGTGACGGTCCTGTGGTGTCTGTGGGAGAAGGTTGTGGTCGATGTTGGTGGTCGTCGTTTGTAGATGTAGGGCTCTGTTAGCTTCACCGAGCGAGAATCCATGACGCACCAACTGGGACCAAGGGCCCACCCAGACTTGGCAGCAGCCCTGACCCTGACCCTGACCCTGACCCTGACCTGACCCTGACCCTGACCCTGCGCTACGACAGGCCAATTAGCGGCCGCGCATCCCTGGTCAGTCAGCACGATAGCGAGTGGGGCAGAGAGCTAACAAAAAAAAAAAAAAAAGAAAAGCAACGAAAAGAAAATCTTTGGTCGTGTGCAGGCAGCTGTGGGAATTCCTTTCCCCTCCGTCCCCTAAGCCCTGACTTAGTTACCGAGCCCGGGCCCTTCCCCTGGTACATAAAGTGCGCGCAGCAGCGGTAGTGGGGTAAAACTCCCCCCCCCCCCCCAGGTCCCGCATCCCGACATCTCTTCCGCACATCGAGAGAGTCTGAATATCAAGAAACACAGAATGCAGTCAGCAAGGATTTCGCGACTGGCTCGCGCAGGGAACAATAAGGTAAATACATAATTATCATTTCGTCTGGTAGCTGTGAATTGCTTCAATTGCAATTGCTAGATATCTGCTACCCCAATGCTCTCTCCCTCCCAAAGCCATTCTTCTTCCTATATATTCCTCCCACCTGAAAGCTCAAAAACACCCAGCTAACAACCTCCCTCGTATTTCACAGTGGACGCCCACCCGCCAGCCCCTCACCCGCACCCTCGCAACCCCCGCCAGCCCCAACACCAACTTCTCCGTGCACCCCGAAATCGCCTCCCGCACGCCCCCCTACAGCAAGCTCATCAAGAACCTCGCCGAAGTGCGCCGCGTGCTGGGCTCCACCACCGGCCTCACCCTCGCCGAGAAGATCGTCTACTCGCATCTCGCCAACCCCGAAGAATCGCTCGCGGGCCGCAATGGCAGCATCCGCGGCGACGCCTACCTCAAGCTCAAGGTCGACCGCGTGGCCATGCAGGACGCGAGCGCGCAGATGGCGCTGCTGCAGTTCATGACGTGCGGGCTCGGCAGGACGGCCGTGCCGGCGAGCATCCACTGCGACCACATGATTGTGGGCGAGAAGGGCGCGGACGTGGATCTGCCGAAGAGCATCGCGGGCAACAAGGAGGTATTTGACTTCTTGGAGAGCGCGGCGAAGAAGTATGGTATCCAGTTCTGGGCGCCCGGGTCGGGCATCATTCACCAGATTGTGCTGGAGAACTATGCGGCGCCCGGGTTGATGATGCTGGGGACGGACTCTCGTATGTATACTGCTATATACTAGTTCTGCGGAGGGCTGACAGAGAATGATAGACACTCCTAACGGAGGAGGACTCGGAGCCATTGCCATCGGTGTCGGTGGTGCCGATGCCGTCGAGCCACTGGTCGACGCACCCTGGGAGCTCAAGGCGCCCAAGGTGCTCGGTGTGCGCCTCGAGGGCCAGCTCAGCGGCTGGGCCACGCCCAAGGACGTGATCCTCAACCTCGCTGGCCAGCTCACCGTCCGCGGCGGCACCGGCTACATCATCGAGTACTTCGGGCCGGGCGTCGAGACGCTCAGCTGCACGGGCATGGCCACCATCTGCAACATGGGCGCGGAGGTCGGCGCCACCACGTCCCTCTTCCCCTACACCTCCTCCATGACCTCGTACCTGAACTCCACCCGCCGCGCGCCCATCGCCGAGGCCGCCACGGAGGTCAACAGGTCGCACAACTTCCTGCGCGCGGACGAGAACGCAAAGTATGACGAGATCATCACGATAAACCTCTCGGAGCTCGAGCCGCACATCAACGGCCCGTTCACCCCGGACTTGTCCACCCCGCTGTCAAAGTTCAAGGACGTGGTCAAGGAGAACGAGTGGCCCGCTGAACTCTCGGCTGGGCTCATTGGGTCGTGCACAAACTCTTCGTACCAGGACATGTTGCGCGCCGAGCACCTGGTCAAGCAGGCTGAGGAGGCCGGCCTGAAGCCGAAGGTTGGCTTCTTTGTTACCCCCGGAAGTGAGCAGATCAGGGCCACCCTCGAGCGAGACGAGACCCTGAACGTGTTCGAGAAGGCCGGCGGTACCGTTCTGGCAAACGCCTGCGGACCTTGGTGAGTTATCTTCACAGCTCATCACTCGGTGCCATCCACTGACCTGGACGAATGCAGCATCGGCCAATGGAAGCGCAGCGACATCTCCAAGGGCGACACCAACGCCATCCTCACCTCCTACAACCGCAACTTCCGCGCCCGCAACGACGGCAACTCGCAAACCATGAACTTCCTCGCCTCGCCCGAGATCGTCACCGCAATGATCTACTCCGGCTCCATGTCCTTCAACCCCATCACCGACACCCTCCCCACGCCCTCCGGCAAGCCGTTCAAGTTCTCGCCCCCCACCGGCCCCGAACTCCCCTCGCAGGGCTTCGAACTCGGAAACCTCGCCTTCGTCCCCTCCAACTCGGCCCCCTCCCCATCCACGCAGGTCGTCGTCTCACCGACCTCCGACCGCCTGGCACTCCTCGACCCCTTCGAGCCATTCGGCGACAGCGACCTCAAGGGCCTCAAGGTCCTCTTCAAGGTCAAGGGCAAGTGCACCACCGACCACATCTCCGCCGCCGGCGCATGGCTCAAGTACAAGGGGCACCTCGAGAACATCTCCAACAACACGCTCATCGGCGCGCAGAACGCCGAGACCGGCGAGGTCAACCGCGCCTACGACGACGACGGCACGGCCTCCGGCATCCCCGAGCTCGCGCGCAAGTGGAAGGCCAAGGGCCAGCCGTGGCTGGTCGTCGCGGAGAGCAACTACGGCGAGGGCTCGGCGCGCGAGCACGCGGCGCTGCAGCCGAGGTACCTGGGCGGGCGGGTGATACTGTCGAAGAGCTTTGCGAGGATCCATGAGACGAACTTGAAGAAGCAGGGGATTGTGCCGCTGACGTTTGCGGACGAGGCGGATTATGATAGGATTGGGTCGTGCGACGAGGTGGATACTGTTGGGCTGTATGAGATGCTGAAGAACGGGGGCAAGGGAGATGTCTCGTTGGATGTGACGAGGAAGAGCGGCGAGAGGTTGAGTATCAAGGTGAAGCACACGATGAGCGAGGACCAGTGTGGGTTCGTGTTGGCGGGGAGCGCGCTGAACCTTTTGTCGAAGAGGAGCCAGGCGTAGAGGGGGCCGGGGCGAATATAGCTAGTGATACCTGTTTGGGCTTGTATGTAGTTGTTGCAAGGGAAGAACAAAACAAAAGTTCTGGCTTAAAGGCCTTGCTTTGGTCTCAAGTACTGTCTGTGTGTGCTGTTTCATGCTTCATGTTTCTGATCTGGTTGTGGATGTGGAGACACCAATGATCGATTTGCCGCCAAGCACGTTCTATCATTGGCCCTACTCCGTAGCAAGTGCTGGCTCCCATCGACCCGTCAGTCCACGGGCTGCAGGGATTCCCCGATGGCCCGACCGACTGCCAAGTCTTTCGACCGTGACCATAAGCGATCACAGGCGGCGCGTCTTACCTCCATCACCGGCGCCCACCTCCGCAAAAAGCCACAGCATGACCTCCGCCTCCACCGCTCCCACCGCTCCCACCGCTCCCACCGCTCCCCCCGACACCGCGCCCGCCATGGCCACCCTCCTGCCCAGCTTCCGCGCCACCCTCCGCGCCTTCGCCGCCTCGCCCGCAACGTTCCAGCACATCCGCTCCACCACGGCCTCTCCCCTGTCCGCTGCCAAACAGCTCTTTGTCCTCGACTCGTCGTTCAATCCGCCGACGAAGGCGCATTTCAGAATCGCACTTTGTGCGTTCAACGACACTGCTACTACAGCTGGGTCGGCGGCGGCGGAGAAGAGGCTGCTGTTGTTGCTGGCGACGAATAATGCCGATAAAGGTCTCTCTCTCACACTTGCTCCTACTTAGCGCTAGCTATCTGAGCTAACGCCCCCAAAACAGCGCCCAAACCAGCCCCATTCGACGACCGCCTCGCCATGATGACCCTCCTCTCGTCCGAAATCTCCACCTCCACCGCACAGCCAGCAGCCGTCGACGTAGCGCTCACCAAGCACGCCCGCTTCCTCGACAAAGCGCACGCCCTGCGCACGCACTACACCGGCGCCCGCGAGTTTGTCTTCCTGACGGGCTTCGACACGCTCGTGCGCATCTTCGATCCGCGGTACTACCCCGAGGCGGGGCACCGGCTGGATGGGCTGGCGGCGTTTTTCGAGCGCGGGGTGGTGTGGTGTATGTTTAGGGAGGGCGAGGGGTATGGAAGTAGGGCGGAGCAGGAGGGGTGGTTGGAGGGGCTAAGGGCGGGGAAGTTGGAGGGGGTGGGGGGGAGGAGGGAGTGGGCGGGGAGGGTGAAGTTTATCGTGAGTTGCTCTTTTTTCTTGTTTTTCTGGTTTTTCTGGGTGGTGTGGAGGGGGGAGTGCTGACGGGACGGGGCGGTAGGAGAATGATGTGGGGGAGGTGGTGAGCTCGACGAGGGTTCGGGAGGCGGTGAAGGGGGGCAGCGGGGAGGTGTTGGAGGCGCTGTTGACGAGGGGCGTGAAGGAGTATGTGCTGGAGAGGGGGTTGTATTTGGAGGAGGAAAAAAGTGGGGGCGATCATTGACCTTGTGAAGATCTTTTTGTCTTTGCGTTTTAGATACCCCCCCTTATAAGTAGCAATTTTTAGTTAGAAATGAGGGTTGCAAATTGGCCATTAATTACGTCAGTTTCTCGCCCAGAATTTCGAGTGTTTTCGTTTTTCTGCTTTTGACAAAGCGCCAAACAGAAAGTATAGTAGTCTCTCTCTAGCCATAAGGATATTGATATTATTTATAAGGATATGTGCCCTATGATAAGGATATATTAGGACCCTAGAGTTTCGTAGTTGACTGTAATCCATTGCTGGAGATCACTCGGGCATGAAGGGATCTCCCTCTAATGGGTAGAATCATAGATGAGCACTCGTCGCCTCAAAACCGTCAAGGTGTTTACTTGAATTGCCCGTTCCGAGTGTAACTCATTATTACTACACCAAGCTAGCTCACAATTCCGGTAAATAAGTCGAATCTTGGCAATAGGGCTAGGTGTCTACTTCTACCACTACAACAACTACTACAGCTAACATTCAAGCTGCGGTTACGGGCCAGAGATCAAGAAATTTAAACACAAAAAGCCTTGCTGAAGAATGTGCTTTTCAGGGTGGTGAGTGCCATTTATTACACACAACGCCAGTATAGACTCCCACCCCTCGGGATTGAACCCGTACCCATGCCCTACTGATGGTCATGGGGACTCAACCCACTCGGTGTCCTCCGTTGACGAGGCGTCTACCACTAGACCACGCTCGCCCTCACAATTGTCAGTGGCCCGGAAGTAATATTTAAGGGAGCGGGGGCAAAGTGAGCTAGGGGACACCTAACCCTGCAACCACAATCGATTATCTACCACGACGTACATCATGCCCCACACTGGCCACCCTCTTGTGCTTGTATATACTTCGAATTGTTACAGCGTTATTTGGCTATAGCATTCAGTAACGACATAGTAATCCTAATATTCTAATCTAAGATCTTCTATAGCGCCGTTGTGGGTACCGCTCATGACACCCCTCTCTTCCTCCTCCATTCCCGCCGCTTGAATTAGCTCGAGTCAACCCCGAGACGTAGAAATCAGGGCCGCACTAGAATATGACCCACACGGATAGTTCCTGACAATTAGTTATACGTCAATGCAGCCCGGAGGCCTTTGTTTCAGCGATCGCCGACACGAACCAGTGCAGGTTCATGAGCGATCACTCGCACGTTCAAGTGGATACAAAATGCGGCAAAAAAGCACGGCTGATCCGGAACCCTTCTGTTCTCCGGTGAGCGTGTGGGGGAGTGAGAATGACTTAGTTTGAAAGCGGGGGAGGAGGGCGCTCGCGAAAAATGTCAACTTGAATAAAGGCCTAGGCCTGACAGTCTAGCGGCGTGTTATAACTGGATTATCAAACGCCATGACTGATGATGATGTGGGCTTAAGCTCTTAGATTGTATTAATCAGTATAAGCTACGACATTATAAATGCTTGGGCGGCGGTAATAGCGGCGGAAAGTATCTAGGCAGTGAGTGATATAGGCCGACAAACCTATTAACTTTTTGGCGCTTATAGTATTTTGATACTGACTACGTACGAGATGGGCTTTGGTAAATCTCAGCCTTTCAAGGTCGAAGTACTAGTAGATAAGTACATATGTAAGTCGCTTAGAGAGGTGCTACATGTAGTTGGTGAAACCTTTCATCCAAAACATATTCGTCTTCCCCCACTCGATCACGTTTAATCGGTAGCACATGACGAAATCGCGGAGTTTCACACATCAATTTTTCAAATTCACGTTCCATCGCACTAGTCATAACGAGATTTAACGATTTAATGATTTAATTCCGAGCATCTTCCCAACTGAACTCACATGACAGAATGCAGTGATACTAGTAAATCTTCAATTACTAGAAACAAAAAAAAGCCATGCAATTATAAACCCCCTCAGTTCAAAAAACTAAGAGGGCCCACGCAGCAGAAAAAAAAAAAAAAAAAAACAACTCTCTCCTACCTACCTACCTATTTCTCCGGCAATCCCTGCGGCATGAAATCCTCCTCGTCGTCAAACGCGGCCCATCTCTCCACCGCAGCTGCGTACTTCATAGTAACCGCATTAGCATCCCTGACCTTCCGCTCTTCCAACTCAGTCTCCTCCTGTTCCAGCAGCTCGCGGTACTCGCGGTCACTGAGGAGACGCGGCAGGACCGATTGTTTGGCATCCTTTTTATTCTGGAAATTGGTGCGGGGCTGAACGACGGGGGTGGCGGGGGTGGTCGGGGGTGTTGGCGAGGGGACGAAGGGCTTGCTGAGGGGGTTCAGCTTGGAGTTGTTTTGTGGGGTAGACATCGTTTTTGAGTAATTTGGTTATTGAGTAGTTTTGGTGTTAAAGCCGGGATTGTGTTGTTGAAGTGGTAGTTGGATGGTGAAGATGGAGTTTGAGCTGGTACAACTCGAGCGGTATATATAGGTGTCTTGTGCATATAAAATCTTAAATGGAGTCTTTCAAGCCATTCTATGGGCTTGAAAAAAATAGTGTTTGGTGACGGCGAGTGATGGGTTGTGAAGAGAATACAGGGGGGAGGGGGATAGAAAGTTATCATATAGGACTAGGCCCCACATCGTAGTACTAATTGTTTCATCCTTGGAAAGAGAAACCTTGTTTCTCTTGGATTGTACTGTAACGCGTGCTATTCTTGGCATTGATCTTATGGGGAGGAAACAAACCGTCTCCTCACCGGTTTGTCTGGTTTCTGACTAAATATAGATATCGTGGTGCTAGTAGTTGACTTTTATCCAAGTTTTCAAAACCGGGGACAGTTCTGCGTATCAAAGGAGAGTTATAATTATTGGTTTTCTTGAAATATTCTTCTAAAGTAAATTTAGTTCCAAATTTAATAATATGTCCGAGGTAAGTAGTATGACTTATGGGAAACAATAGATGCTCATAGTACGTACATATAACTCAGCTCATAGTTATGGAATTGCGGAGAATATCATTATACTTCTTGTTGTTTTGTTCATTACTATTCGACTTTCTCTCTTTTCAAGTCCACTCTCTAGATCTCACCAGCCCATGAAAAACAACAGAGCCTCAGGGCATTCTGTGTGCAACCAGCTTTCAAGTTTGGTAATACAAGCGAGCTAATAGCGCACTTGTGCAACTACTGCGCATGTATTCATCTTACAGCTCGACAGATGAGTAGCCAGTGCACTCCAAACCAGATCCGCCCCCATCTTCCGCGTGCAGCAGGTGATGGTCAGGAGACCGACAGACTTTAGGCCAAATCCATGGATCTTCTGTACATGCAGTCCAATGAGGACATATTGCTAAAGTGTCACTGCTCATCACATGAGGTAGGTACGTGTAGATTATTATATAGATTGCCCTATCAGCAATACCGAGATAGCCACGCCCTAGAGATCCGATAAGATTGTAGACTTTGTGGATAATGTCTAATCTTATCAGATGCAGAGAGTATTTCAGCCCTTCTAGTACTTTCTAAGGGGTACCAATGATCACATACAGGAGCTGACCCCTATCTTCAGCCCTAAGGGTCGAGTCCCAGCCCATTATCAGCCGCTAGAACATTTCCAGAACGCCCGGGACCACAGCTCGATAGAGAACTCCCGAAATCATCCTCGGCTCATAACATCGGCTCGTCCCACCGGAGAGCTGCAGTCGCTAGCTAGCCCGTTCTCGAACCCAACTTGCCCTGACTGGTACCGGGGTGGTCGTGTTATTCCCGGGATCGGATCTCTGCGAGCCGCATGCCATGCTGGGCCAACGTCACGTCACACAGCTAACAATGACCCAACACTCCCGATCGTCGAGGCCCCGAGTGGCTTTCTCGGGGCTTCCGTCTCGAGAAGGTTAACCAAGAGCCAAAGGTGATGCATCCCGGGGACTGTGTCTCATCGAAGGGAGCGGTGCAGGAGGCCGAGTCATCATCCATCACTCGACCGATTATAGCCTCAAAAACAGATCGAGATCGCACGCCGGGTGTCAACGTCAACAACAACACACGCCAAAAGCCAAAAGTGCTGCTTTAAAGATAGGTCCGCACCAACTCGCGATAATAATGGCTTCTGGGGTTTTCCGACGATAGATTGAGACACTGCTCTAAGGAAAACAAGGAAATCCCATCGCCGATATGGAGGAAACAAATGGCTCTCCACGGTGCAGCAGCAGAGGAGAGAAATGAGACAGGACGTCAATGTTGTTGGGCTGCAGTATGTACTGGTTCGTGTGTGTGTGAGGTGAGGTGAGAGTGAGAGAGAGTGGAGGGTGTCACCAAAATATGGATAAGCATTCAAATGTTGCTGGCAACATACGTCACCCGTTTGGGACCGAACCACCTGCACCGCAATTGCTCAGGCACGCACCCTTTTCAGGACCTCTCTCTGATTAACATAGGTATACTGGCATGTGCTGCTGTTGGGAGTCATGATGGGTTTATTCTTATTGACACCCCACCACTGCTTCGCCAGCTAGGTGGATAAGGTACTCGGCCGCAGATAGATAACCACAACGTCGGTAAATATTAACAATTACAATTCACGTGACTAGCCACGTTTACCATAAGCCATCTTAATTGGTATCAATTAATTACTATAATTGGGCACCGGCACAGTATGGTATTCACACCCTTGGGCTTCTGCTGTGTAAAGGGAACTTTATTCATCCGGTACTACTACAACATAGAGCTAATACGAGGAGGCCAAATCACTCACAAAGTGCAAAGTAGATACCCACAGCCTGACCAGCTGGTTGGTATCTTGAGGTCGGAATTAACGTTGTTAGCTACTAAGAAGGCAGCTCATTGCCAATCATAAACCTGGTTATGAAATTTCAAAAACCCCGTAAGGATCCGATTCTTAACAATTGCTACGATCCGAACACTCTTCCGCAATCATATATATATATCTAGGTGTTCCGGGGAGCACAAGATCACGGAGTAATGTACCGTGCTGGAGAGAGAAATAGCCAAGAATGAGCCCAAATTAAGGATGTGTGCGTTATCATGACTTCCTTCTCCAAGGAAGGCC